AAACCCAACCAGCCTAGTATTCATGTTAAAATAGGTACATTCCACAATTGCAATACTTAACACACAGTGTACATACTTTTTTATTTCCTCCTTATTATTTTCCATCCAATTGGCATACTGTTTATTTGACTGAATAATAGAGTTTAAGTGCCTGTTCTTAAAGGGCATATTTCTGCATAAACCTTTTATACTTTAAACTGCAAATTCCTGTTTTAAAATGTACAGAACCGTATACTGCTAAACAGAACAGGTATTTAAAGTACTGACTCAAAAATGAAGTATCACCATCTGAGATGAACTTGCTGATTTATATTAATTGAAGGAAGGCTGCTGGGCTGCTTTTCCTCTTTCTTTCTCGTTTTCTATTGGAGTTATGAAAAACTACAGATTTATGGCCCCTAATCTCATTTCACTTTGCACATGTTTTCATATTCTTTTCAAAACTGTTAAAGTTAAGTTCAAAACAATAACATAATACAAAACTGAATATGATAGCAATTTCGTAAGTAATACCATACTGAAATTATTCTGACGCTAAAAAAAAATTCAATGTTATCAAAGCAATTAGATGTAGCTGAACTCCCACACAGATGTTAGTCTTTCAATTTCATTACCATAAGGGGACCATTTAAGAATAATTTTGTACTGTAATGTAATCATGGGCCATGTAAAAGACACATGTAGGCTGTGTTAAATCCAAAGAGGAGTAAAACGCAGGAATAACAGGATACTGGAGAGACTAATAAACACTGAGATTTAACAAAGGAACAACACATTAACATAGACAACAACAGAGAACTGGGAAATCTAAGGGTTTATATATACAATGATCTAATTAACCTAACATAGAACGGGTGTGTAACTTGATTAGTAACCTAGGCAACTAACAAATGAGAACACATGCAAATCTGAAACCAAAGTAAAACACAAAAAAACTAACAGATCTAAACATAACCCTGACAGTAACATATAATGCAGTGAATTCTAAAGAGTAGAGAACTGTCATGTTTTGTTTTGTAAAGACATTTTACAAAAGAAAACGTATAATATAGTTGGGGGCCTTAAGCACATAAATAGTTGATTTCGCGTAAATTCGTCTAAAAGCGCCAAATTTGGCACAGATGTAGCACAGGTCATACCGAAATGATAGGGCGCCGGAGCCAGCGACCCTCTGGGCCAAGATGGCGGCCAAATCCAATATGGCCGCTGCCCAAAAAGGGTTTTGGCTATAACTTTTGAACCACATGAGTTACAAATACAAACTTGATATGTTTTTTTCAGCTTAATTGATCATGGGAAACACATAGGAATGTTTATATTTATGACCCAGTATATCTGGACCCCTTGATCCTCCAATTCCAATATGGCCGCTGTCCAAAAAAGCAGTTTGGGCTGTAGTATGGGGCCTTACACCCCATTGTTTGCGCAAATTCATCTACAAGCACCAAATTTGGCACAGATGTAGCTGAGGGCATACTGAAATGATTTAGCCAGGGCGCCCGAGCCAATGGTCCCTGAGACCAAGATGGCAGCCAAATCCAATATGGCCGCCGCCTGAAAGGGATTCGGCTATAGCTTTTGAGCCAGATTTTTTTTAAAACTTTATTTATTTACCAGGGACAACGTACAAAATACATTAATCTTACGAAAAGATGTTTTGTACCAGAGTTAGCCGAAACTAATTTTCATCTGCAGTCCCCGAGCAGGTACACACAATATTTACAACATTACATTACAAAATAACTATCAATAGTACTAGCAAGTACATATAATATTAGTCCAAGAATGGTCGTTTAAAAACAATCAGATGTTCAAGATGAAAGAACTAATCAAAAGACCATCACAGCAATATATACAACAAAGTAAAAAAAAGATGAGATACAAATACAAACTTGATGTCTATTTTACCTTTTTTGACCATGGGAAAGCCATAGGAATACTTGGGGGTGTAAGGCCCCATACTACAGCCCAAACTGCTTTTTTGGACAGCGGCCATATTGGAATTGGAGGATCAAGGGGTCCAGATATACTGGGTCATAAATATAAGCATTCCTATGTGTTTCCCATGATCAATTAAGCTGAAAAACATATCAAGTTTATATTTGTAACTCATGTGGTTCAAAAGTTATAACCGGAACCCTTTTCGGGCAGCGGCCATATTGGCCCCGAGGGTCGCTGGCTCCGGCGCCCTAGCTAAATCATTTCAGTATGATGTGAGCTACATCTGTGCCAAATTTGGTGCTTTTAGATGAATTTGCGCGAAAATGTGCTTAAGGCCCCCAACTAATAAAGCTATATGTGCTGTTAGTGTTTTTTAGATTGTTGTTTTATGAGTGATAAAGTGTGCTTGTTGGGTGACAAGCTTTGTTATGGAAGAATGGCTTAATTTTAGATATGAATGAAGTGTTTTAGTTGATTTAATGTGCATTTTGAATGTGAAATTAACTGCTGTGCCAAGTTGAGAGTTGGTAAGGAGAACTGTGTGAAGAGTTTTGAAAAAGGGACTTTAGTATTAAGAAATGTGTCTTAGCTATTGTAAAAAAAACCACTAATGTTTCTGAAACTGAGTATGTAGGGAGCGGCAGTACTGAATAAATTGAGCTAAAGGTCGGTATTGACACTTTTAACATCTGAAGGTGAGAATGTAAACATGCCGGTGTGGGAGTGGCTGGACTTCAGGTAGTCGTGTGAACAGTGGACAGGAAAAGTGCTCCAGTTGAAGAGACATGGAACAAAAGTGCCCTTTGGAACAGCCATGACTCATGCCTGAAGGACTGTCTTTCATAAGAGAAAGTTCAGAGTCCCATTAAACGAAATCTGAGAAAGGCAAAAGGACTCAGGACCACCAAAGGACTGAACTCACCTATGCAAGGTCAGTAGAAAATGATCAAGGTCGGCGTAAATGATTATTCACCAAAAGAAACAAAATTAAATGACAATGTGTATCATATTTAACATGTTTTACCACTGGACTTGCTTTAGTTCAAATAATTTTGGTGATTGGTCCAGTCTGAATATAATAGTTTCAATATAAATGTGATTTATTATTGAAGTGTTTCTGATTATGTTGTTACTTTCTCCTAGAACTATAAATTGCTTAAGACTGTATTTATTTACATTATTTTACATTTTTGTGGAAACTGTGATACAATTTTTTTTTCAGAATTGGTTTAGAATAGGTTCAAATGCATTTATTTAAAATAGAAATATTGAGTAACACTGGAAAATATATTTTCTGTCACTTTTTATCAGTTTAATGCACCTTTGCTGAAAAAAAAGAAAAGTAAATCCATCCTATTTCAAGGCTTTTCACATTAAAGTCACTTCCCATTCACTTCCAGCAGATAGGCCTGTATATGATGCCAAAAGAAAAGCATTTAAGTGCACACTCTGTTAATTTGCATATTTGTGTGAAATGTGCATTTTAACAAAGATCACACATGGAAAATAAAAATGATGGGATAGGTCATTTTACTGTGCAAATTATGGATGAAGTGGGTTTTATTGTGTTTTCTCCTGCTAGATGTTTGTTACCACACACTGTAGAATTGTTTGCACCATATACATAATTTTTTTTTTTTTTTTTAAGTCTATTTGCTACTCTTTCTCTTCCTGTCTTGTTTTTATCATTAACAAGTAATGTTTTTTCCTCATACTGAGTCACTGAATGGGTGTCAGCAGTTCTTTTGTTTATTATACACAGCTGCTTAACCTTGTTCCTATCTGCTGCCCTCCATTGCCTGCATGGCCAGCAGTGCTTTCTTATCAACAATTCAGCTCAGAATGCACTCTCTGAGCACATAGCAGTTTTCCCCCCTGCTTTTTATGGAGCAGAATTTGAAACTCTCTGTAAATAAGGTCAGATCACCTATTTTGCCACAATATTGTGATGTTGTTCTATAATGTGAGCTGTCAGAAAACCCCCAAAATTGTGTCAGCAGCACAAGCAAAGTCCAGATCAATAGTAGCCACATCCATCTTTACTGTAACACACTGACAAAAGACAGCATCAGTCGTTATACAAGACTGATGATTGTTGTCGGCTGCTTTGTGGCTTGTTTTCTCTCTCTTCGTCTGTTTCTGTATTTAATCTGTGCGCTTCTGATCACACTCCTCTCCAGATGTTGAGTCTTGGGGCTTCTCTCCCTCTGCAACAACGATAGATAGATAGATAGACAGATAGATAGATAGATAGATAGATAGATAGATAGATAGATAGATAGATAGATAGATAGATAGAATTTTTTAAAGGTATAAATATTTCTCCAAATATTTCCTTTGTTGCCTAGAGCACACAAGTAATAAACTGCATGGTGAATGAACTGTTAAATGACCTGTTTGCCCACAAATTACTCTCAGAGGCACAATTGTTCATTATACACACTTCATTTTGGTGATCCCATAATAGTTTGTGTTCATAGAGAGAGACAATATGTAATATCACAGTATTACGAAGATTCATCTCAGCCCCATTGAGAAATGTTGTTTCCATAGCAACAGGGGGAGAATGATGTTAAGCCACAGAGACCTAGAGAGGGAGTGTCACTTCTTTATATAGAAAGAGGTGAAAGACAAAAATTCATTCATTCATTCAAAAATACATTTCCACTGTGTTTTGTGTGTACGTTCATAAGAGATAGCGAAGACATTTGAAGACGAGGGGAAGTGAGTAAGGGAGAGATCATTTGACTGTCCATCCATTGATTTCCTTTACATTCATTCATGTGTTTCCCTTTTATTTTCTGTCAGATGCATGAAGTGGCACCAATGCCATCGGCTTAACCACTGCTGCACCTCCTCATCTCCATATTCTCCTCCTCTTAGTATCCAATCTCCTTCAGCCCTCCACCACATCACACACAGTCTTTCCCCACAATACCCACACAAACACGGGCACACACATTCCTCCATCTCTCTCTCTCTCTCTCTCTCTCTCTCTCTCTCTCTCTCTCTCTCTCTCTCTCTCTCTCTCTCTCTCTCTCTCTCTCTCTCTCTCTCTCTCTCTCTCTCTCTCTCTCTCTCTCTCTCTCTCTCTCTCTCTCTCACACACTCTCTCTCTCACACACACACACACACACACACACACACACATACTCGCCGTCCTGCCTGGGGATTTTAAGATGTGACTGAGGCTGGTTTGTAATCAGATGAAAGACGAGTATAATCCCGAAGCTCCCTCCATCTTTTTCACTGCTGGAGTGGGATGCTGAAGGAGAGGACAAGGGCCAGGATGGGTGACGTGTGATGGAGAGATCTGTGCCGACGGATTCTGCCTTTATAAGGACCTGGACTGACGTTGCACTCTTGGGAGTCTGGGATGACCGCAGAGACCATTGAAGAGAGAGTGGACAGGTAAAGACGGGGCACAGAAGTCATTAAAAGGGAGCTTCATCTGTGACTGGGACACAAGGTAGGGATTTCTTTTGGAAAAAACTGTCTGCCATTGTTTTTTGATATATGTGTGTGGATGGGTTTAGATGCACAGGATGGAGTTCTCACCTTGCCAGCAAGGTATTTTTGAATTTAAAGGAAGAAAAATGCACTCGGGCCTTAAATGAATTGATAATGCCAGGCTGTTTCATCACACTGTGCCCAAGTAGCACCTTCTTTTCATGTGTGACATTCAACTTATTTATGAAATTTATGAAAGACTCTTAAAGTAAAAACAAACATTACAATTGGAATTGAATCTAATTAAATCTAAATACTAAGCATGTTTTATTGTTATTTCAAATGTCTAATGCAAATAATTTGTTGCTAGACTGTGGATGTTATTTTCCTCATCTGTTAATATATCACAAACAAGATGATGTATCACTGAAAACCAAATCAAAGTGTGGAATAGTGGGAAAAAACAGGTTTTGGACCATTTTAAGAAAACTCTACCAAAAGTACCAATCAGTCTGGTTTTGGCTGGTTTTTCACAATGTCTATGCGATGTCTAACAACAACATACATAGGCTATTCTAATGCATATAGGGACTGTAGAGTGACAAAACAACCACTGTGGGACTGAGACCCTTAGAAACAGCTGGCTTAAATGCCAATGTCTGTCTTGATACCCTAAGTGCTTTTCAAATGGTTGGGATTGTTAAAATTATTTAATGTATTTGAAAGTCTCTTATGCTCACAAGGCTTCATTTATTCAATAAAAAAAGTAAAAAATAAATAAATAAACATTTTGATTTATATGCTGTTTATTGTTGATGATCTCATTATTTTTCATATGCATCTGCTTACATATGAGATCGCTCGTTTCTGTATCTTTTTTGCCTCTGTTTTGATCTAGAGATACTGTACTCCTTCAGGAGATGTGTAATAGCGCCCTCTACCTTATTACAGTGATAACACGGAAAGCCGTAAAAACTCGTCATTGGCAGGAATCAAAGTGTTTATTTTTTTTCTTAATTTCTTTTCAAAACTTCTGGTTAGCTATTCAGTTAATTCAACCCATATTGTTTTCAAGGCTTTTCACATTAAAGACACCTTTTTTCTCCATTCATTCTAGCATATATCTGATGGCGGAGACTGGGCACACAGTGTCATTCCCACCAGGGGGCCTCATCCAACCAGACCCTGTCATCACTGTTGAGTGCAGTTCAGCAGAGGTGACGCCTGAAGATGTACTCCTGAAGAGCTCCAATGAACCATCATTTTCTTCAAAAGACCTCAAAGACAGCAGCTTGAATGACCAACATCAGAATAAACATTCATGTTCACTGACAGTACACAGGGAGCATGCCTTATCCCCTCACAAGGACTTAAATGAGCACAATCTGTTATCAGTACAGGGGAGCCACTCAGACAGCTTGCAGATTTTCAAACAGGCCACAGCTTCTCCTCTCTACTGTGAAACGGGCGACACTTTTTGCCAAGGACGACACCAGGATGTTTGTGCGCAGTCGTTTCCTTCTTTAGTGTGTAAACAGGCCATGCCGCTTCAGCAGAGCAATACGGTGACCACGTCCACCAGAGCAGGAAGTAGCGGGTCGGGCAGCCCCACTCAACCAGCCAAACATGGCTTCATTCAGGTCTGTGAAGTCATTCCAGAATCCACCTGCCCCGAATTCGAAGAGGCTGCTTGTTGTAACTCGCACTTCCACCATGGAGCCGTCGATGACACTTTTGCGGCATATTGCCACCCGCAGCCCATTCCTGCCCCAGCGCAGCTGCTTCCGCGCTTAGTGGGAATGGAGGAGAACTACAAGGGTCAAGTATCAGCAAGCAACCTGCTTGCTCTTCCTCGGCTCATCTCCTCCGTCAGCGAGACCGGATTGGATGGTAAGCGACTCCTCCGCTGCTGCAATCTGGACTGCTCTTGGCCTGGTCCGTGGCGTCCAGTTGGCGCCCAGCGGTGGGTGGATCAAAAGACCACAAGGGAAGCGGAGACTATGACTTCACAGAATAAACTGAGAGATGTAGGAGTGCAAGTGGGTCAGGACTCTGAGGAACATCCCCAGCACGTGTTCCCAGAAGTGTGTCTGGTTGAGGAGAAGACGAATGTGAAAACGGTGTCAAAGAGTCAAAAGTCTCCTGTGAAGGATGTGAAATGGGATGCCGAGGGCATGACATGGGAGGTGTACGGGGCCTCGGCCGACCCTGAGGAACTCGGACTTGCGATTCAGAAACACCTGGAGATACAGATCAAAGAGACTAAGGGAATAGCGGCGAAGCTCTCGCGCCAGAACACGACAACATCCCAGCACAGCTCAGGATCGACCCACAGAAGAAAAAAGGGGTTATTGGGATCTCTGCGCCGCCCGGGATGCTGTTCTCGCACCACTGGTGCAGTGGACTAAAGAACCAACCTGACTGAGACCCCAAATGGACATTTATAATATTCTTATTGGGTATAGATTTGACAGCCATGTAAAGAACAGGTTCAAAATAGGTTTTTTTAGCAACGGTACTATCAACCGCAACTGTAATACATTTCAGAAAAAAAAAATCATGTCTTCCTTTAATTGTTAACACCTCACTTAATTGCTGTAGTAATTTGCTCAGTATATTAAAACTTTATTTTGTAATATTTAAATGCTCTTTGGTTTATGTTTCCATCAGTAAAACATGATGATTATGACTATGTTCCTGTCTTGCATTAGTCTATGTGGAATCGTGTCCATTCGATTAAAAACCTTTATTGTTTAATTCTGTGGCAGCACTGTGATGGAGGTAAGATAATACAGTAACTGTGGCGCATGCTGGTCAAAACATGGCAGTAAGATGTGGTATCACAATTTGTTTACAATATGTGTAACTGCGTTTAAAAGTGAAATACTATTTACAATACGCTACTATTCAAAAGTTTGGGGTGTGTAAGATGTTTTTGAGTCACTTTTGCTCACCAATGCCGCATTTATTTGATCAAAATACAGTAAAAACAGTATTGTTGTGTTTTAAATGTTATTACGATTTAAAACGATTACGATGTTAAAACGATTTTAAAACTGTCTTATTTTGTTGTGTTCTACAATTAAAGTTATTCCTGTGATGGCAAAGCTGAATTTTCAGCTGCCATTACTCCAGACTTTAGTGTCACATGATCCTTATTTGGGTCTAAAAAGACATTTCTTATTATTAATTTTTTGTGGAAACCATGATAAAATTATTATTATTTTTTTTACATTTTAAATGTCTTTACGGTCACTTTGGATTAATTGAATGAATTTATCCATCCATCTTCCTACCGTTATTCCCGTGCATTTGCAGGGTCCGCTTCACACACACATTTGATTTGGCACATGTTTTATGCAGGATGCCCTGCCACATTCACATTCACTCCTAAGAATAGAGTAGGAGTGAGGAGCACTCTGTGTATATTAATAATGAATAATAGTATAAACACAACACTTTTGTTTTTGCCCCATTTTTCATGAGCTGAACTCAAAGATCTAAGATTTTTTCTATGTACACAAAAAGCCTATTTCTCTCAAATATCGTTCACAAATTTGTCTAAATCTGTGTTAGTGAGCACTTCTCCTTTGCCAAGATAATCCATCCACCTCACAGGTGTGGCATATCAAGATGCTGATTAGACAGAATGATTATTGCACAGGTGTGCCTTAGGCTGGCCACAATAAAAGCCCACTCTAAAATGTGCAGTTTTATCACAGTACAATGCCACAGATGTCGCAAGTTTTGAGGGAGTGTGCATTTGGCATGCTGACTGCAGGAATGTCCACCAGAGCTGTTGCCCGTGAATTGAATGTTCATTTCTTTACCATAAGCCGTCTCCAAAGGAGTTTCAGGCCCCGTTTACACGATGGGAAAACGCAGATATTTCTCTGCGTTTTACCCTCTCATTTACACGAAAACGCCGTTTTTATCACAGAAAACGATTATTTCTAAAAACTCTGGGCAAAGTGGAGATTTCTGAAAACCTGAAATTTTTTTAGGTTCTCTCTTGTCGATTCTGAGGATTTTGATTGGCTTGCATGGCTTTATCCTTCTCCCTACACTGCACGATGCACGATGTTATTTTTGAAAACGGAGAGGGGGAAAATATTCGTTTCTCTAAATACCCGGCTATGTGTAAACGTAGCCTCAGAGAATTTGGCAGTACATCCAACCGGCCTCACAACCGCAGACCACGTGTAACCCAACCCGAAACCAGCCCAGGACCTCCACATCCAGCATCTTCACCTCCAAGATCGTCTGAGACCAGCCACCCGGACAGCTGCTGCAACATTCGGTTTGCATAACCAAAGAATTTCTGCACAAACTGTCAGAAACCGTCTCAGGGAAGCTCATCTGCATGCTCGTCATCCTCATCGGGGTCTCGACCTGACTGCAGTTCGTCATCGTAACCGACTTGAGTGGGCAAATGCTCACATTCCATGGCGTCTGGCACTTTGAATAGGTGTTCTCTTCACGGATGAATCCCGGTTTTTACTGTATAGGGCAGATGGCAGACAGCGTGTATGGCGTTGTGTGGGGTAGCGGTTTGCTGATGTCAACGTTGTGGATCGAGTGGCCCATGGTGGCGGTGAGGTTATGGTGTGGGCAGGGGTATGTTATGGACAATAAACACAGGTGCATTTTATTGATGGCATTTTGAATGCACAGAGATACCGTGACGAGATCCTGAGGCCCATTGTTGTGCCATTCATCCATGACCATCACCTCTTGTTGCAGCATGATAATGCACGGCCCCATGTTGCAAGGAAACAATTCCTGGAAGCTGAAAACATCCCAGTTCTTGCATGGCCAGCATACTCACCGGACATGTCACCCATTGAGCATGTTTGGGATGCTCTGGATCGGCGTATACGACAGCGTGTTCCAGGTCCTGCCAATATCCAGCAACTTTTTACAGCCATTGAAGAGGAGTGGATCAACATTCCACTGGCCACAATCAACAACCTGATCAACTCTATGCGAAGGAGAGATGTTGCACTGATTGAGGCAAACCAGATACTAGTGGTTGTACAACATAATGGGCCATTCTAGAATAGCCTATTGTCTAGCCATTTCCATGACATAAATATCCATACATGAATAAATACACCCAAGAGTTATTGCCACAGTTAATAAATTAGCTAATTTCCATAGACAGGATTTCCACTTGTCTTCAAGCATTTATAAATTGTATTTTAAAGAACAGTTACAAAATTATGCATTTAAATACATTCCGCTGCTCTTCTATTGCACAGAGGCTTCTTTTTACTAGAGCAGCAAACCTGATGACTACTACACCTGCCTGCCATTTGTTAATTCATCATCTCCAGCAGCAGCATACACGAGCAGTGCTTTACATAACGCGTGCATTTGATTTGATCTCACACATGATAGTGAGATATCACCGGTTATTCTGTGGACACGGACACAAACGGAGGTAAGTGCCTCGATATGGCCAAAGATAAAATGATTTAAATGAATTAATATGCATAATGAAGGGTTGTTGCAGAGGTGTAGCATCCATTTAACCAATTTTACTACAGACACCGTCGAGACTCCACAGAAACGCCTTGGGTTTGTGCGAACATCAGTCGACGTCGCATACATAATGTCATATTATCAGGCATATCCGCGTCTATTCTCATATCTGTCTCTATTCTCATAGTGGCTGACAACGCCAGATAATGGGTCGCATAATCGTGTTCTAAAAAAACTAAATGATTTATTGATATCGTGACCATTTTGAATTTTTGACCAGGCGAACGATGTGTGTAAAGCGTATTTCCCCCCCACCCTCATATATTGTATTGAGTGACATGAATTGCATTATCAGAATAACACAAGGTTACGATAGTATAGCCTAGTCTTCTGCTATCTCTAGCAGTTATTGTAAACGTATCCTAAATTACTGAATTTCTAGTGACCTAGTTGGAGATTAGCCAGATTTATTACCATTTCATCACTTAATTAAACACACGACAGTGAATACCACATTTTAAGGCAAATGCATTTAAACTAAGACAGCTTAATGTATTATGTGTTAAGAATATGAGCTCATTATCCACCATCAGTGTGGTTTTCTCTGGTCTTTGTTTATATTAGGCCTATATTAAAGCAATCTATTCACATGTGGAGACACTATCACCGAGCAAACTAAATGAACCTGAACGGGCATAACAAAATGTTAAACCTTTGTCAAATAGTTACATACTTTGCAGTTGCAGTGTTCCCAACCGTATTTGGACACTGAAGTAGCTTGTGTCAACTAACTGTCTGTAGTAAAAGTTTGTTACATTTATTGTTTAAAAAACTGGCAGATGTGGTTTATCATAAATTTATCATAACTTTACCAGAATACCAGAACTTTATCATAAATAAATGCAGTGACAAGACAATATAAAGATTAGGTGCAAAACACACCAGGATAAAACATATGACACAAAAATAATGCAATATGCATGAAATAGCCTATGAAAAAAAAACCTCCCATGCATATAACATTTTAAAAATGAAATATAAAATAAATGTGATAGTTTGCACAAGGAATTCTGGTGATGACCAGATTTAAACAAGTAAACAATATTTTACATTAAAATTACATGCAATGCAAGTTCAAGAAAATGCAATAAAAAACAGTATTACAATTTTTGTTTACAAAAAATACTTGCAATACAATAGTACGGTAAATCAAAATTACCTAAGTTAACATTTTTTTTTTCTATAGTTTTTTAAAACATTTCCCCCCCAGTTAAATTTACTAACATTTTTTTTTACATTGGATCATTCCCCTCAAGTTTACTGGTGTCCTAGCAGGTGTAATTCATCACATTAATTATGCACCTGCTCCACAAAGTTTGACAACAAGTTCAACAAGAGCCCCCCACTGCCAATATTCAAAAGCCTGGATAAGGATTTTTTTTAAAAACATTTAACATACAATATTTTAGAGCTTGGCATAACTAGAAAAAAAGTATATAATACGATTCTATTATTATTCATTTATTATTTATTTTTCCCATTCTAGAAATCACACTTAGGTTACCTCATATATTCAGGTTGATGAGGGGGTGAATTGAAATAAGAAATATATTCCCCCGGTTTCAGACAAGGCTTAATCCTAGTCAAAGACTCAAATCACTGCCAGTGATTTGTCTCAAGATGCACACCAACAATGTTTTTTTTCTTTTTCTAAGGCACGTTTATAAATGGTACTTAAATGTCCTAATTGAACTAAGTACTCACCCCCATGTCATCCAAGATATCCATGTCTTTCTTTCTTTAGTTGAAAATGTTTTTAAGGAAAACATTCCAGAATTTTTCTTCATATAATGGACCTCAATGACAAGGCAACCAACGGTTTGAAGGTCCAAATGTCAGTCTCAATGCAGCTTCAAAGGTTGGACACAATCCCAGTCGAGAAATAAGGGTCTTATCTAGCGAAACGATCGGTCATTTTCTAAAAAATAAATAAAAATTATATACTTTTTAACCACAAATGCCTGTCTTGTACCATCTCTGAGATGCGCCACGCATTATGTCATCACGAAAGGTCACGCGTGACATCGTTAAACATCCAGGATATGCACACGTAAGGACCATTTGGCGCATCTCAGAGATAGAATGTTTTCCTCAAAAACCTTAATTTCTTTTCGACTGAAGAAAGAAAGACATGGACATCTTGGATGACATGGGGGTGAGTAAATTATCAGGAATTTTTTATTTGAAAGTGAACTACTCCTTTAAGCCTTGTCTGTAAAACTGGGGGAAAGTGTCCAAATACAATTAGAGGCCACTGTAATATTGGGGAAAATGGCTAGCTCTTTATGTTTTTCTTCCATTCCCAGGGTGATCCAGAATGAACAGGGCTGCCGCCACCTGCTGGATATTTCTCCTGCTTTCAGCATTCCTCTGCGATCAGGTGATGTCCAAAGGTGGCAGAGGAGGTGCCAGGGGTTCAGCTCGGGGCAGCGCCCGAGGCGGCCGGACGTCCCGCACCCGAGGCTCCCCCGCTGTGCGGGTGGCAGGGGCAGCGGCGGCCGGGGCTGTGGTGGCACTGGGAGCCGGAGGATGGTACGCGTCGGCCCAGCGCCGACCGCATGACAGCTCAGAGCATGGAGATGATTACTACAGTAACAGAACAGACTGGGAGCTTTACCTCGCCAGGACATCAAGCGCAATAGTGTATGACTCCACTACCACTAAACTTTCCGCTCTGCTCCTACCAATAAACCTGGTCATGTACTTTGCCCCTTGAGGCAGTTTAAGACACAGATTGGCACAGCTTAATAAGCTGCTTATGTATGTTACTGTGCAACACCTATGTTTAATAATGTGTCTGTTGCGCAACAAAGAGGATATGAAAACAAAAGAAAGATTCAAAACTTTTATTTAGTTTAGTAGACATTTTACGAATAGGATCTGAAGTTAGACTGCATAGTTTGCTTCAACAGGAGCATTAGTAACTAACCATACAACTATAGACTACTTAAATTATGCTGGTTACATCATGTACTGGATGGCAAAAATACTGTGTTATTGTTGTGCTGCTGAACGGCTGGAGAAACACCACTGTAATTGAGATTTACACAAACGTGAACCTTTTTTTAATGAACCTTTGTCTCTTTATCAATATTTATGTTCACATCTAACTAATAATTGTGTGTAGATAGAAGAGGTATGCTGTAACATGTTTAGAATATGAAAACTGTTTCTATCTGTACCTGTACTTCCATTGCTGTGGGTGTTAAAATGTCCTGTTTTTAAATTTCTACTTTAGCCATGCTATTTCTAGTAGAATTTTTTGATAATGCAGTATGTATTAAGTACACAAGTGTTTAAAAAAGGCAGTGAAATTAAAGATGTTTTTATAATATAACACTTCACAAGCACTGTTTACCAGCTGTTAGATCAATTTAAAAGATTACAATTTTAGAAATCAAAGCAATTACATGCCAAATATTTTATAAAATGGACATATTAGTAAGGAAAAATAACTGATGTGAAAGTAGACAATCTAATTGTTATAAGTACTTTTGTGTTGGCAACTGACGTTTGGGTGTAACCTTTGCTTTTCACATACAAACTTATGCACTCAAGATACCAATGCTGTTCAAATTAAACTGAATAATTTATTGCTTCAATTGCAGTGCTGAAAAATAATACATTCACTGCACCTTTGACCTGATAACTACACAATAAAAACAAGACATGTCCAAAATACCCATTGCACCACCTTTTAATTAAAACATTAAAAGTAATAAGTGGTTCACTTGTGTGCTCCGTGTCCGGTCTTGAACGTAAATACAGTAAAGTCAAGTCAAGCATAGTCAAGCATCACCTTTCCGAGTTCTCCTTTCCGGAATGCTCTGATGAAATCGTATGCTGCTGCACTGTAGTCTGGCATTTGGACGGTGATGTTGCCTAAAGAGTCGATGTGTTATTGGTTAAATACATCCGATAAGTTATGCTTCAATAATCAAAGGAGTGTAAGTGAGGTTGATTTATTGTGTGAATTCACTCAAATTAAAAAAATTGAGTGGCCTGAATAAATCAGCTCACCAACTCCAGTGATGGCCTTCACACGCTTTGTCTTGCCGAGCTTTACTGCTATACACTTCAGCACGTGCTGAATATCATCGCAAGGCTCTTCCAGATTGTACTTCTCAACGTAACTAAAGAAGAAATTGTCATAATCACTATTGATTACTTATCCATGCTGCTTTATAAAATATGCAACAGATGATTATTTACCGCTATAAAATTGTAGATTTTCTCAAAACTCGCTGAGAATAAACGCAAAACCTACCTAAATCTTTCCAGTCTGTTCAGTGAAAAAAGTAGATAATCTGCAATGATATCCTCACCAACTAAATGGTCCAAAATGGTACCTGTTTGAAAAGAAAAGCTTTCATTACCTTACAATTGTGACATTACAACAACAAAATTACTATACACTAAGATAGGCATCTTTGTTTCTGAAATTTGTGGACTTACCACATAAAGCAAGTTTCATTCCAGTCTCTATGTTCTCTATTTTAGGTGGCAGGACTCCTGGGGTGTCCAGTAAATGAATTATGGGTCGGTCACAGACCTAGTAAAACAAAATTGAATTTAATGCTACGGGAGAACACATCAACCCAATTGAATCCATTATCCGCCTACTAATTATTAATTAATACAGCAAACCTGAATTTTGGTCAGGACAGCTTTTGTAATTCCTGGTTCACCTCCAACCTTTGAAGCTTTCCCTGAAAGCAAGAAAATACAAATTGTTAAAGTCAAACAAACAACTTCAGTTTCATGCTGACTTTAAGATTAATAGACTGGAATTTCTTACAGCAAGCAGAAGAGTATTTACAAAACATAAACTAAATACCTTTTTTCAAATATGTTCTTCTTACAGCATTAATCAGTGATGATTTCCCCACATTTGGCACACCAATGACCATCAGACAGTAACTTCTGTCCTACACATAGATGAATAACAAAGTCAGAAAACTTTACGGCAAAATGTAAGCCACTGAAATAATTGAAACCCACCTCTTCTCTGTGAAAACGTGACCCACTTTCTATCAACTCTGTCACGAGAGGAATGATCTGGAACGTCACACAGTGAAAGATAGAATGTTTACATCTATAAGGTGTCAGGTTCTCCAGTCAAGCTTTAATTTAGAAATTTCTGATGTAAAGTGTAAAACCTCACACCTTTTTTAGGTTTTCATCTCGCTGTCTTAAGCAGTCAGTGAATAAAACATTCCTCACACCTTCTCTCTCAAGCCGCTTCATAATGCACTGGTGGAATTAAAAAAACCTGTTATATCTGATCAGCACATTATTTAAGTACTATCTGTTCTTGGCAGTTCTATTAAGTCTATTTAAATCTATTAAGGCAGTTTAAATTCAAAGCAATAATGACATGTATAAGATTATGACACCTGCTTTAGGGATGTGTCTGCCAAATCCATCTTGTTCAGTACAAGTAAATGTGGCCGAACATCAAGGCTTTCTTGAAATGAAGGATTTCTTCCAGAAAAGGGTATGTTGGCCAGTTAAAGAGGGTTTAACTGAGGTTGAATCATTCAAAATGTACATTATCTGCCATAAAAAGGATATTCTAGCATCATGGATCTCTATAATGCAGTCAACCTTCCTTAGACTGGCTCTCATCTGCTTGAGTCCTAAAAAGAAAGAGTCACAACGTTGAGCATAATTCTGAAGGAATGACATGACAATTTTGAAACTTTAAGACACCTGGTTTTTATCTGATCGCCATAAATAAGATCAGAAACTAAAGTATGCTGAATTATTGAAATGCCCTTGTTCTAGATGTTAACTTTTGGCCCATGTCTTAAAGAACTGTATAGCAACAAATTAGACAGATAAGCCTGATTTAGTGATTTCTAGTATGTGGCACGCACCTTTAGACATATGTCCAGGGAACCAATGCGCCACATCTCGCTCACCAAAGTCAAACACTCTCCTAAACTTGGTAGCATTGAGTAAAGAATGATAAATTCTCATCGTGGCCGGTCCGTCTGAATGTAGAATGTATTCGCAAGACTAAGACCGCCGCTTGTGAAAAAAATCGTATAACTAAAGGCTTCTAAACGATTAAATTTAAAACACTGTAGAGACTGTAGTAAACATCACCCTCCTACAGATGCCATACTTCTTCTGTGCTCGGTACAGAAAGAAACTCAATCATCGCCACCTACAGGATTGGCAGGGGAACTACAGAGCGCATGACTGTCCAGATAATGGTCCAGATTATACTATAATACTTTGCGAAACTCTATATGAATTCATTCTCGTTATGCAAGTTTTCACTATTTTTACGCTTGAGTTTAAAATATCTGAGAGTGGGATTATGAATGAAATATATATGGGCCAAAATAAATTTGAAAAGCTGATTCTTCCCTAGTTTCCCTTTAATGAAAGGGTCAATAAAGCATATTTTTAACAAGTCTTGTAATGTAAATCTGATTCCAATTACACTTTATTTTAGGTATCTTATTTCTACTGATTTCAGTTGAACAATGACTGCACAGCCGAAATTAACTCTGGTTGAATCATTGAAGCATTGAATAATTTTCGTGAAATAGCGCCCTCACGTGTCAAAATTTATAGTTGATTAGGTAAAAACCTTTTTTACAGTAAAAACAGAACGCACTTTTACGTCACGTGTTGCCAGTTCAGTTCACTAGAATGGAATTTTACACTCTCACAGAATGTTCATATGGAATTCGAATAGGAACGGCAGGAATTCAAGTTGAATTGCAATTCAAAGAATTTCAACAGCAACACAAACGGTTTGGGAAAAATAAAATAATATACATTTTGACCAATTTTGCCTTTTGATTCACTTATTAATGACCTTCTTACAATTAGGCTATACATATTTCTCTAAACTACATTTAATAGCCCTACACTAAAAATAATAAACTAGGCAACAAACTATATTTTAACAGTTGTTATAGGCCTATTTAAAATATTTTAACAGTTGTTATAGGCCTATTAAAAATATGTGTTTGTTTGTTTAAAAAGATCCTATAAATGTCATACATAATTAGAGCATTATAATTAAGAGTTCGTTCACCATGACACCATCATGGTCCATGAAATCCAAACAAATAAACAAATTAAATATAGGCTAAATGAATAGCACATCAATTAAAAATGATTTGATAATTGTATTTTACGTCGATCCCCTTTAACTGCTCTGTTCTGATTTGACCGGTTTATCACATCACAGTAGGCTATGCTACTTCTTAGTTTTTTATAAATATTATAGGCTATTTTTCATGAAATATAAGATAAAAATGACAGAAATATAAATAAGAAATGTATTTTGAAGTTAAGAAATGCAACACTACTGAGAACATTCTGGCTATAATGTCGCTATTATTTGCATAAGTTATACTTAACTGTTGGCCTAGCTAATTGTCTTATCACAGCTCTGAGTTACATGGCTTATTTAAAGACTCCCAATCAGCTTCTTTCTCCCTCTGTGTAGGCCTATGTTATGGATAGAAACAACTATTCGTTTTAACATAATAAAGTGTTCTTTGGCTGCATCGCAGAAACTGGTATTCGAGTCAGGACATACAAAACCAGCCTTTTGCCCGAGAGTCACTCCCTAAACTCCACTATAAACTCCACCCTGATTTGGCAGGTGTGTGCACAGGTGTGTGTCTGAGGCTGCTTAGTTAACTGGTGGCCGCCCTGCCGAGCGGACAGTAACCACAATTTGTTATTTCCCCCCCGAATTGCCCTCACTTTTATATCGCTATTTTTTGGAAGTGACTCAAAATGAATGCCACTGAATTTGGGCTGCCTCTCACCGAGTATGATTTCGAGCGGCACTTTGATGAGAGGTTTGCTATTGAATGGATGCAGGACAACTGGTAAGAACTGTCTTTGACTGAATAAGAATTTCATCTGAAATACACTTGCCATCTTTGCTTGGAGGTCCAGTATAAATGAGTTTTCTGGTGTTCTATGTTGTCCCATTCAGGAAAAAGTCGTTTTTGTTTGGTGCTGTGTATGTAGTGGTCGTGTTTGGTGGGCAGCACTTCATGAAGGGAAGGCGGAGACTTGATCTGCGAAGAGTGTTAATGCTGTGGTCCCTCAGTTTGGCCATCTTTAGGTAAGTTAAAATCTAGTGTTTAGTTTATAGCGTGCACACTTACTTGGTTATCTAAATAACTAAGTTATTTTACACATTAAGACCTCCTTTAAAAGAGGTTTTGATATATGTAGCTCACCTCTGGGTACTTTTTTTTTTTTTTTTTTTTTTTTTTTTACTTCTATTTTTTTTTTAATACATCTTTGAGGAACAGCAAGTAACACGTTTATTTAAAGAGATAGTTTAACCCAAAATAAATTCTGTCATTTACTGACCCTCAAGTTGTTCCAAACCGGTTTAAATGTCTTTCTTTTGCTAAACCCAAAAGGAAGATTATTTTTTAATGTTTATAACCAAACAGTTGTGGGGCACCATTGACTTCCATAGTGTTTTATAGTATCAGTCAAATGCCCTGAACTTTTGACCTTTTAATGATACTGCACATTGTCTTTTTAATGAGACTTTCACTTTCACTCTTGGACATTAGGTTACATATTGTTGCCCGCAAATTTGCTGCTTGAAATGTGAGTGCCAAAATGCATTCGATTGACATGTTTGTGAGGTTTACCACTCATGTGGCTTTTAAGTCTTCAGTGCTGTTGTTCACAGTTGGATTTGGTTTCACTTGGGTGGGGATAAGTTGTCTTGGTCCCATCTCAAAAGATGACAGAAATGATAGCGAGCACAAAGTAATTGTGTGCATGCTTGTGAAAAGAACAATGGAATATTGTGATTGGATGGCAGCAGTGACCTCTGGTCACATGGTCTTTAGATCTCCCTTAGCAACTGGACTTTCACCACTTAGTGAATGTTTTGATATTGATTGCAGTTTAACACAGAAACTGCCTGCAAGCAATGTTCCAGGGGGGGTGGGGGGTTTCTCCCCCACCCCTAAAGTTAAGAGGCCTGAATTGTTTATCTTGGATACCATGGTTTCACCGCCATGGCAGACAATATTCATATACAAAAACATTTTTGTTTTGTTTTTTCAGTATCATTGGAGCGGTGAGAACTGGTTGCTTCATGTTGTACATTCTCAGCACCAGTGGTTTTAAACAGTCTGTTTGTGACCAGAGCTTCTACAATGGGCCGATTAGCAAGTTCTGGGCTTGTGCTTTTGTGCTGAGCAAAGCCCCAGAGCTAGGTGAGTTTTATTTTTAAGGGATAATTCATCAAAAATACCCTTTTGTTGTCATTTACTCTGGAACACAAAAGAAGATATTTTGAAGAATGTTCCAATTGTTTTGCATATGTAATGAAAGTCAGTGGAGTCCAAAACAACTTTAGACCCCATTAACTTTCATTGTATGGACAAAAAAATGTTTTGTGACCTACCGGTAAATTATTTTTATTTTTTTAGGTTCATTCTCTTTAATGGCTTATTTTGCACTTGTAATCTTTTCAGGGGACACCATATTCATCGTCTTGCGTAAGCAGCGGCTGATCTTCCTGCACTGGTATCATCACATTACCGTGCTGGTGTACTCCTGGTATTCCTACAAAGACCAGGTTGCTGGTGGTGGCTGGTTCATGACCATGAATTACACTGTGCATGCGCTCATGTACAGCTACTACGCTGCTCGAGCTGCAGGACTCCGTGTGCCGAAACCCTGTGCCATCATCATCACTTGCACCCAGATTGCCCAGATGGCCATGGGGCTGGCAGTAAGTGCACTAGTGTACCGGTGGATGCAGGATGGCGATTGTCCCTCTTATGTGGATAACATAGTGTGGGCTTCACTCATGTATCTCAGCTATCTGTTCCTCTTCTCTTCTTTCTTTTATCAGTCTTACATGAAGGGTTCAAAACCCACGGGCATCAAAACTGAGTGATCTGCAGGACTGAAGTTTATATACAGGTTTTATTTTTGATAGTTTACCTTGATAAAGAAAAAATATATATTATTATTGTTGTATTATTTATTTAATGTTTTTAAAGCAAGGTGAACAATGTCAACTGTCTGTTATTATAGTCTGGCTTTGCCTCAAGCTGTTTCAGGGCCGTGTTTGTTCGTTCTATTCTGGTATTAATCAAAAATGGCTCGTTGTTGTTGAGAACTTTAATGATTTTGAAGAACTTCCAGACATTTTTTGGAGGATGATTGTGAATTTTCGGTGTCATATGACCGCTTTGTCCTGCAGTCTTACAGGTCACAGTTTCTAATCGTCAAAAGTCCATGTTTGTTTACTCTTTGCAGACTTGGTAACATGCCCTGAACCCAGCTGAGACATGGGTGTACGTTGTAGCGTGTGCTGAGATCCAAGGTCTGTGTTTGTAGTTTGAGAACAAGTGAAGAATTTGTCAAAAGAGTCCTAGTTAAATGTACATATTCGTAGAACAAAGTCCTATTTTAAATGGCCACACCATTAAAATTTCATCCATTTTTGTATGTCCTTCTGGGTGTGGAGGTATTGCTGTATGATAGTTCTGTTTTCTCATGATGTTACAGAAACTTGAATTATCTGTGCTGACTGGTTGGACCGGTTCCTAGAAGTTTTAAAGGGGCATTTTTAAGACTGGAATTCTCCAGAAGGACGACACCCATGTTCTCTCTCTCTCTCATTCTGTGCGTGTTTCTGTCAATAGTTCACTGCAGCCCTGATGCACTGAAGTTACGGTATGTAATACTAGCAGAGGAATGATTGATCTAGACTCATTCACCCTTGAATAACACATGTAGAGTCAGTATGAAATGGTTCCTTTCTGGTTTTCTGTCTGTGAGTATTGAATTGGTGTCTGACAGAGTGGTTAAACTTTAGCTGTCCTTATAATGGTGTTTGTTACTTGAGTCATTAGTAAAATGCACAGTTTATATATGTATCATGTATACAGTATCACACGTGGTCACATTTGGGAGATAGTTCAGTTTATGGTTGTGGGGGAATTTGGTTTTCCACTGAAATGACCATGATGATTGGTCTGCCTATGGTCATTTTTAAAATATTGTATTATGTACTGGTAGAGAACAAGCCTTTGAGAATATTCAGTGGGACTAAATATGCATTCTAATTTATAATCTGAAATGTTGCTGCTACCGTCCGAGATGTTTTTTTGTTGTTGTCTGTCTGTACTCTGGTTTCTCCTGTCTGCTCCTTTTAGAATCACTTTATTTTAAGACTGAAAGTTTCTATATTTGCAAATTTCCACTTAAAGGACATTTTTTTGATTTGTTTTAAAGAAATTTTATGACTTTGGCTCAATGTTAGAGAGAACATTGTGTTTGTAGGAACTTAATGTATGAACTTGAATGTATAGTGGCACTAGTTTACTTTACAAAACATTTACGACAAACATGTTTACAACTCCTATATTTTAATAAAGGAAGGAAATGTGATGTAATGAAGGTGTCAAATGTAAATATTTATATTTCTGATTGTCTGTACAAGTTCCTAGCCAATGTGAAGTAATTTTGATTGTTTATTGTCATTAAAGTTGTTTCTGTATTATTGTGTCTATCATGTTCTGTTCAACTTTTCACAGACAAATGGTGTCAGCTGACAGGTTCTCTGAGCTGAGCTGGAATATTTTACGCATTCATACACATACTTTTGTTGTAAACAGGAAGTTTTACATATTTCCAGCTCTGACAGACGTAGATCTTAAGGTTGATGTAATTTCCTTTCTTTCATTCTCTGTTCAGTTGGGCCAGTCACTTTTTTTCAGTACATGATATAGCCCTTGTTTGGATATCAATCTGGAAGTCTCTTCAGAAACTGGATTTCTTTCTCACAGGTTTTAATATGTAATAACCGTAATGGCATAAACACTTTCTGGAATATTCTGGGTGCTCTTTTCCACTAGCAGGCAAAAATGTGGTTAGGAACTAAGCAGCCGTACATTGACCCCAGCATTTTTCATGAATAGCAAGTCAGTAACTTGCCATTTAGGTGACACTTCTCATCGCCCTGCTGGAACCAGAAGTTAAGTGACTTGCTCAAGGGTACAGCAGCGGTGTGATGCAGAGATAGCCTACTTCAGTGCCTGGTTATTCCCTAGTGCTTTTACTTTCCCCAACATAGCAACATGAATGGACAGCAATTTTTGTTTTGTTTGTACTTATGAAATTTAAGACACCTACACATGTCACCTTTTTAAGGACAAGTAAAAATACTGAGAGTGGAGTTTGTTGTAGAATAAAATGTGAAAATATCTTGAGCTTGCGTAACCACATACAGTATTTCATGGTTTGAACATAAAACCCATTGACTTATAGACCTAACCAGAGGCGCTAATATGCTAACTCGTTTCTGGGTTTTTCGGCCTAAAAAAATACATCATCCCTGCCGCACTCAATTGGCTGTATGAACGTGTTCATTACATCTCAGTAGTTAATTTGGTTAGATCAGAGGTACAAAAAATAGCCCCATTTACCTAATTGTACAGGTAAAAAAAAGTATACAATTATTTTATTCCCTAAAATCAACAACTATTGCATTGAACATGTTTGTATGCATCTGATGATTTTAGAGCTGTGAATCAGGGGGAAAACGTGCCATAATCTTAAAGCTGAATACTGCTGACTACTGTTATGTCGATAGAACAGCTGTACTAGGAGTTTTAAAGACAAAAAGGTAAAACTTCAAATATGGAAAAAAGAAAGCAGTACAGACACAGTGAGAAAAGAAAGTTACTCTCTATATTTGCTTCTATGCAATAGTAATGTTGCAAGGTAATTTTATACAAAACAAATAAATGAAAACTATCTGCAATTTGCACATTTATCTTAAAATAACAAACTGATTGGATTTAAACTGCAGCAGAATGCAGTATCAGCCAAGTATGTATGTTTGATGAATGGGGGGATGTCACCTCTACATTTTGTAAGAAAAAATAAACTTTATAGCCTATTCAATGCATGCTTGCCAAACTACTTAATACAAAACTTTGAGGTTCTATGCTTTACATAGTTATTTTATTTAATAACCATTACAAAAGCACTAAGATGAGATGACAAGATGAACCTGGACTTCATACAAATCAGTCCAAACATCACTTAATTTATGGTAGCTAACCAGATGCCATAATTTATTTGAATTTGTTTGAATGGAAATATATTTCTTGTCAGATATGGACATTATTTATTGATCCGTTCTATCCATCCATTACCTACCTATCAATTCTATGTCTTGGGCTGATAGGTCCATGTGTTCAGTTTGCTTTAGTCTGGCTTACATCTAAACAGCTCATCTGCATTGACAAGCTTGGCAAGAACCTTGACTTTGAAATGACCGTTATCCCCTCTGGATCCTCTGGAGCAGAGAGAGAGAGGGAGTGACAATCCTCACACATGTAAAGTCTCCTATTAATCATTTCACAAATCACCCTCCTTGTTTTCCTTGGCTTCCAAAACATGTTTCTTTTGAAAAGAGATCAGATGACACAAAGAGATATCCATTCACACCCTTTTGCTTAAACTTATGTTAAGCACGTTGTTATAATGTCTTTGTTAGTTAATATTTTCTTGAGTCTATTGTTTTATTGATTACAATGCTTGAATGAAGAGCAATTACAGCAAAAGACACCATCTATTTACACACTTTTCCAATAAGTGTAATTATATGTTTGATTAATGTGCAACAAGCCTTGTATTAACATACAGTCTTTATTTTTATCCTTTGTAAATAGGAATATAATATAAAAATAGTTTTGAAACAGACTATTAACATTGCATTGCTCTCTAAAATTTTTTAAAGCTGTTTTAAGTGATATTGTTTAATGACTTACAGGTAATGGGGATTTTTAGAATATACAAACTGTAAAGCTGAAAATCTAAAATTTTGTATATTTTTTTTTTTTTTTTTTTTTTTTTTTTTTTTTTACAAATATATAGCCTATATTAAGAATATAAATATATTATTTGGTACAGCCTTTGTATACAGGAATATCATATAAAATATAAAAATAGATTTGAAACAACAAATTACCATTTCATTGCATTCTCAAATTACTTTCTGCTGTAATGGTCATTACGAGAATATCCAAACTGTAAAGCTGTAACTTTATAATTCTTTATGATGTATATATTAAGAATACATATATATATATATATATCACATAGAAAATGCAATATACATACCAACCAAATAATAAAATAAATACATATACATAGATAAATAAAGATATATTTGTATATATGTATTCAAAGATATGAAAAAATAAAAGCATATAAACATACTGTATAAAAGCGACTAATGCTCTTCATGTATTTGGTTTTTTAAAGATATCTAAAAAACAACAACTTTGAAATGTTATAAAATCCAATTTAAAGAGACAAAAACATAATTTTTTGAGAAAGACGTTTTTAAACACTTAAGTACTTGCTTGGGCTGGCTTTGTCCCTCATCTTATTCCTAATTCACCCATAATAAGCACTTCTAATGGGGGAGGTGTGGGTGAAAGGGGGGTCATGGGATAGGTACAGGTATAAAACAGCGCTGTAGGGGTCAGAAATCAAATCCCTGAGGAGTATCAAACAAGACAGACCTTTATACTTCTCCAGCCCCTTCAGCATTCAACCAGTGGTGACTCAACATGTGGAAGGACAACAGTATTGGTAAGGACTACTGAATGTTGATTTTTTATATGGAGAGACATTAACATATAAGATGTAATAAGAAAAGCCAATCTTCTCCATCTCAAACCAAAAGTCATATACTGTTACTGTTCTTCTGCTGTATATATTATTGTGGAGAAGTATTCATTAATTGCATTGATATTGTTTGCTTGTGATATAGTTTTTTTTTTTTTACTATAAGGTTATGACAATCAATATAACACTATGATTGGCTTTGCACTAATTTTGATCTTATTTTTCAGATGCATCTGCTAAAATATCTGGAAGCGGTACTGTATCAAGAAGTGCAAGTCGCAGGAAAAGGACGAGTTTCTCAAAGGAACACGTTGAGCTTCTGCGTGCCACATTTGAGACAGATCCTTACCCAGGAATCAGCCTCAGAGAAAGTCTCTCCCAAACTACTGGACTACCAGAGTCTCGCATACAGGTGGGTCACGATGTCTTATGGCACGTTATGTACAATAGCACACTGAATTCATTGAAATTTAAAGGGGTTGGTCACCCCCCAAAAATTTAATTCTGTCATCATTTAATCACCATCTTGTCGTTCCAAACCTAAACGACTTTCGTTCTGCTGAGGAACTGATTTTTTTCATTATTTCTATCTATATATTTAAAGTCAGCAGGGTCTAAAACAACTCTTGGCCCCATTGACTTTCAATATAGACAGAGAACCAAGGCTTTTCTTCAAAATGTCAAATTCAACCAGAAGAAAGAAAATCAGGTTTGAAACAACATGAAATTGAGAATTTTTTGGGGTGAACTATTTCTTTAATTATGTAAATAATGAAACAACCCCTTCTTCTTCTCTTTCTCTGTATCTCTTACGCATTTACAAATTCACCAGCTATGCATAAAAACAGGTGAAGTGATATGCTAATAAGGCCTTATGTGAAACATACTGTTTGCTGTCTTTGATACCACTATCAATATCTGACATGACGTAAGCGTCTTTGTGTTTATCTGCTGTTTCGTTTAGAGACCATACGGCCTGTAAACAATAGACATACCAGGCATAGATAACCATGCTGACTTTATGCCACCATAGCTGGATGTAATTTCACAATGATTAACCTGAATCTTTTGACAGGGAAGCTCTTATCTGTATGCACTAGATGGTTGAGTCTAATCTATCAACTGTATTCTTATGAGACTGACCCTCTTGATGTCTCCACTTGCAATAGGTATGGTTCCAGAATAGGAGGGCTCGCACGTTGAAATGCAAGGGTGGAAAGAAACCGTTGTGGCAATCTGACTCACCATTGCCAGCCTACAGTGCCATGCAGAATTCACCGGTGCAGATTCACTCTTCTAACAGGGAGGGCGGCAAGTCTGATGCGGTCACTGGGCCTTTATGCACTTCACCAACTGCGCACCCAGATCATATTAAGGAAGAGGTGGAAAGGGATGGCCACTATGGATGTAACACTCCATCTTCCATGTCTATAGGTGATGATTCCGGCTACTGCACCCCTTCATACGGACACCATCAGGCCAGAGCCATGAACGCTCACTGCAGCCCTCCTCTTCTAAGCCCAGAGCATCAGATGCCCCCTAACTGGGCTACGAGGTATGGCAGGAGATCACCTATGAGCTCCATGTGGAGTCCATATCATCTTGATGCCTATACCTGCAAAACAAGCTCCATCCAGAGCTTTTTTTACTGTCCATCTGAAAAACACAACAGCCTTCAGCCATTGACCCCTGTTACCCCAGACTCGGGTTGGTGGGAGGGCACTCCTCCAGCTTCCAGCTCTTTTTGTGTAGACAACCCAGAAGTTCAGAGGATGGAGAGCCAACAGGACAGCGGGATTCACCACGGGCCTCTGCCTGAGCTGCCGGCCCTGTCGCTGCAGGAGATCCTGGGAGAACTGCAAGGAGACTGGTGGCAGGGAGAAGGAATAAACAGCCACTCGTCATCTGAGGACAACCATATGTATGGCTGAATTTTGCTGTGTGCAATGTATCTAAGAAGACTATTTATTCAATGTATTTATTGACTATAAGGATATGCTTAAACAATAATTTATTATTTATCTGATCTGAAAGTAACAACGAGAGATTTCAGACGTTTTCAGACTAATTAAATGGGCTTTAATCTTCTTTATCTTCATTTTTGCTATTTATTTAATAGTCTCTGTAAAAGTGTAATCATGCAGCTGTGTGTACAGACATTTTTTATTGACTTCATTTAATTGCTGCACTTGTATTTAAATAAAGATGTTTCCCACTAGTGCTCTCTCAAATATCAGATTTTATACAATTGTTCTGTATATTGCTATAGCTTTTTGTACTTATTCTCTAATGCATGGATAACCTAAATGCCAAAAAAAAAACCCATGATATTAGTCAAATATGCATAACACAGTGTTTCTGTCATCCATAAGGGGAAATATTTGTGCTCGATACTATCCATCCCTTTTCTGATCTGAATCAAAAAGTATTCTCAACCATTCAAAAGTCTGGGGTTGGTTTAAGAGTTTTTAAATGTTTCAATCTACCCGCACCAGCTGCTTTTACATTGTAAATAGTTTACTTTTTTTGTGAGTGTGGTGTGGGGCTGTTTTTAGAAACAGTGATGAAACAGGAAGAGGAGATAAGTGATTTGCATAAACTGGAAGGCCTTCTGCTTGCAGCTCCTTTGATCAACAGGAGCAATTGTTTTGAATAAGGGTGGAACCAGAACTAATTGGTTTTAGCCCTCTAGAAAGGCTTTCATAAAATATATAGTACTTTTGGATTGTTAATCTATAAATAAGAAAACTTTGGAACTATACAATACAACAAGACCCAATAACAATATAAGGTGACAAGGTGAAGGTAATCTCCATGGTTTCACATCTGGATTGCAGAAGTATGATGAAAAGCTTTTGATGTGCTTTCATGGTTCCCTGGGGCTGGTGGTAACTGAAATATGTCTCCTTTATCTGTTAGAGATGTCTCCACGCTCTTTTTCCATCTACTAGTACGTCTGCCAACAGCATGTTCTCTTCCCATAGGGTTTCATGACTCTACTCGCTTCGTTATAAGCATTCCTGCCTCTCTCCGAACAGAATAAGTCACAGTGCAACTGGCTGGTGGCCATGTGGACATTTTGGACAGTAGAAGTATTTTCCAAAAGTCTGGTGAAAAAGCATTACAAACTTCAAATCCTCACTCCTTATACACAATCTACGCTTGTAGATTAGGGGGTTTTATGGGCTGTTGCATATTATTTGTAGGCTATTTATGTATGTGTGTGTACGTTCATCAAACCCTTAGTAATCTTTTAATGCCAGTTCACACTGCACCAATAGATGTGGAAAATCACCAAATTACAGTAGGCCTATGTCACTTCTTAGGCATGTGGAACCCGACAAACAGTGATTGAACATGATCTGACCAATGCCAACAGACGGTGACAGGGGTATCTGCCGAAGTGAATCTGCCGGCGTCTGCTGTGTGAGTGAGCTTTTTTTTTACAAAGGACTGAAAGTGTATTTGAACCCAGTTAAATGTCCTGGTCTGTTTTCTATTCCATTGTGTGTTTTGGGGATGTTTGGCATTTTTTCCTCAACATTTTCTTTCAAACAACACTTAAAAAAAAAAAAAAAAAAAAAACAAGCAGGAGGAAGCTAGTGGTTATTCTGTCCCTAACTGTAGTGGATGTGACTCATACTGCTGTCAAGTAGTTATCATTTATTATAGCAAAGAGGTGTGTTTTATATGGAAATAGATAAAAAGTGAGAGAGAGAGAGAGAGAGAGAGAGAGAGAGAGAGAGAGAGAGAGAGAGAGAGAGAGAGAGAGAGAGAGAGAGAGAGAGTGTGTGTGTGTGTGTGTGTGTGTGATATGGGAGCACTAGCAAACCAAGAATGTCTCTTCCTGTTTACACAATTCATAGCACAGTAGCGGATGTGGCAGAATTAGCCTGAACCTTAATTCATTTATATAGTTATAATATATTTAATTTAGGCTATTGTTTAAACGGTATAAATAAAATAAAATGTAAATAAATAAAAAATGATAAAAATAAAACACTATTAGAAAATACTGTGTGTGTGTTTGTGCTTTAATTATTATTACTATTTAAACAATAGAAATAAAATACTAGATATTTGTAGGCTACTATTCGTGTGTTTAACGTCGCTTTAATAGTTGCATATCTAAAATGAGATAAGTGGATCTCTGGTAAATAATCGTGGAACAGATTTGGTTGTGTTTTTGAGTGATCATTACTCGGGCGTATCATTCTCACGCTCACTCACAAAGTCCCTCATTCATGTGTGGGGTGGGTGTTTGAAGAGTTAGCTTTTCTTTTTCGTTTTCAAACTCTACCAGGCGGAGGCGTTGTGTGACATAAACAAAGAGGTGAGCGCTTTAAGATTACTATTATAACTGCTTATTTATTTATATTTCTTAACATTGAGTAACGTTTCTTGTTGTTGTAAAAATCGGCAATAAACCGCTCTGCTTTGTGCGTTTAAATTCTAAATACAGACAGAAGCTCTTAAGCGTTTCGTTCCACCCACAGCGCGCTCGCGCACTCTCCCAAGTAACGAAAATAAATTAAACTGTGGCTGTATTTTTAACCAGTCGTTGTAAAGATTTTATATCTTGGTATATTGTTTATATATTTAGTAGGTAAATGTGAGCAAATAGTAGGGTTTGACAAGTCGTGACGTGAGGTGATACAGTTGGTTAGCTGTGTTGAGATATCTAGCTCTTAGCATTGTTCTTGTTTTTACCGCAGAAACCAAACAAAAATATTATATAATTATTGTACTGACAGTGTTCACTACATTAACTTTACAAAATCTTCTAAACGGGAACATTATTTGTTGAGGAAGACCGATATTTGCCTTGGCAGCTGGTTTTAAAGTGTGAACTGTGACAACTTTGCTAATCAACTAACGTTAGCAACTTAGCTAACTAGTAAGAGGAAGAAGTAGTGGGGAAGAGTTTGTGAGCCATCTTGGTGTGTGTGTAATCGCTTATTTCTGATTATTGGACGGATTTATTAATTCCCTTATGAGTTGCCTCTGGAGCACTTAAATATTTTGTGATCATATCTGATGTGATAATCAAAAGAAAACAAACATACACACGACATTTTAGCTGAACATCTTCAGTGGTTTTCCAATGAACTGTTTGCAGCTGATCCAAATTGGAATAATTATGACAACCTAACACTTTAACCCGAGATATTTATCCATCTGTTTTTTTTTTTTATATTTTTTGTGTGTGTTATGTATCAGACATGTTTACTAATCTTTGAAGCAGATTAAGTTAGTTTTCTGTTTACTGCAGATTATTAACAGGGCAGTTAAATACAAAAATGTTTTATTACGAAGGGTTTTATTGATCATTAAGTAGTACTTTTTTAATGATCAAGATTTTTGGATGTGTATGTATAAGGTAGAATCAGAATTTCCCAAACATTTTGGTCAGCAGACCCCTTTGACCTAACATTAGCTTAATCCAGCCACTCAAGATAATTATTTTAATAAAAATAATTTATTTAACAATCTAACAACACATTTGAGTTTTCTAAGTTCTCGATTAATGGTCATATAACATGCAGGTAAACAAATCATTTTCTCCCTTTTTTGTATTTTTAAATAATTTATTTTAATTTTACTTGTTTTGATTTAATTACTTATTCGCTTTTTATCAACTCACAAACCCCAATTTGGGGTCTACAAGAAAGTAAAATATGTTAAATTTGACTGGAATTGAAAAGTACATTTTTATCTTTAACAAAATTTAGTTAAAAAATCCATTTAAGTCAGCAAGGGTGGGTCTGCTTGCATTAAAAAATGGGGAAGTTTTCTTTCATTCTGTAAATGCAGCCCGTTGGAAATTTATCTTTACTGTCATGTCAGGAAATGCAATACACACTCTTCCCCGTATTACCAACAGCTGCGGGTGAATTTTGCAATTAAACTCTTGTGCAATTGATTAATCCTGAGGATGTGATATAGCCTAATTTCTGTGAATTTATCAGATCAGCATTAGTTTTAACACTTCTATGCATTCCCATGTATTTCAACTTCTGTTAGTGCACATTTTGAGTTAACAAAACATGATAAAGATCTCTAGATGTTTCAATGTGGTAATCTGAAATGTCATTTTCATTTATTCTACAGAAGAAGATGCACTATTACAGATATGAAAATGCAGAGGTCAGCTGTTGCTACAAATACCTCATGTTCAGCTACAACATTATCTTTTGGGTAAGTTAATGACAATGTTTTGTTTCCGTGTAAACGCATGCACAATCATACACAAACATGCCCTCATCTGCATATCATGTTTAAACGGGCAGCCCTTCCAGTTCTGACATTAGATAACATCTAGTACTTTTTATGCCACTCTTGCTCAGATAACATAATCTGCAGACCAGCACCACATTTCATGTTTATTTGTTCCACTTTTGTTTTACACCGTGTGCACAGATGTTTCACACTTTCTGACTGCATTTTCATCACAGCATGTTAACACCCACAGCTGAACCTTTATCAAGAGAAAAAGTCAGCCTAATGACGTCAGGTTTCCATATACGTCAACAGGAAACAGATTTACCCTGACATACTATTGCAGTAGTTTGTGGTGTCCTGTATAAGGAAGCATGGGAGGAGTTCATACCAGATAACTGCTTCTAACCCGTTTTCCTGTTTTCAATTTTAAACATGGCTCCTGAGAAACAAGTTTTGTTGTTACTGCACACTGTGTTATGCATATTTCATGGCATTTGTGACCATTAATCGACACTTTATTTTCCATACTTTTAAATAAAGTTAAATAATTTGTATCTTTAGCATAAATTCATAAATTTTATACTCTACCGTTTAAAAGTTTGGGGGCAGGTCAGTAAGATTTTTTTTTAAACTTAATGTATTTATTAAAGAGGACATAATAATTTAATCAAAAATGAGAGTAAAATGTTACAAAAAATTCAATTTCAAATAAATGCTGTTCTTTTGAATGTTCTATTCATCAAGAATAAATAACAAATTGGTGGGGTTTTTTTCTGACCAGAACAACGGTTTTCACCAAATCAGCATATTAGAATGATTTCTGAAGGATCATGTGACACTGAAGACTGGAGAAATGATGCTAAAAAAATTCAGCTTTGTCATCACATGAATAAATTACATTTTAAAACATATTAAAACAGAAAAGTTATTTTAAACTGTAATTATATTTCACAATATTCCTATTTTGTATTTTTGTACAGACTGTATTTTTGATCAAACAAATGCAGCCTTGTAAGTATAAGAGACTTTCTTCAAAAAAATAAAAAAAATCTTACAGACCCCAAAATTTGAAGTGTTTTTAAACTTTTTTTTGTCAATTCCAAGTAGAAGTGTCTTGCTTGGTGTTCTAGAGTTTAGTCACATTTAGTCTCATTAATGCGTCATATGTTATAACCACACACTTAGTCGTTGCAGGTTCTTTGTCTGAACTTGACTATTCTGATGCAACATGTCTTATTGTCTTCTAAACCTCTTCTGCTTATCAGCTAGCTGGAACAGCATTCATTGCAATTGGTTTCTGGGCCTGGAGTGAAAAGGTGAGGTGATCTGTCTGTGAAAGTCTTTTTTGTCTACTCTTTTAGGGGGTGTTTACACTTGTAGTTTGGATCTTTTGGACTGGACCAAAAAATAAAATAAAACATTTAGTCCTGGTTTCCTTAGTGTTCACACTGTTATTTTTAAACACCGAACCTAATGATAAAAAAAAGACGCTTTTATGGCGTATTTTGTGACTGACCTTGGATATACACACAAAACAATGCTGTGTGTGCTGGGCTGAATGCGTTGCTTTATGTGCATACAAATGGCAAATGATGGAGCTGACTTGTGAGGAGCTTATAAAATGAGCAAAGGAGTCAAAACACTGGCAAGAATCTTTCCGTCACACACACACAAACGAAGATCTGATGTTAGGAGACACGGTTCTGATATGATGCCTGTACCGAACTGTGATGGGCAACATTGCGACTATGATGAGAAAAAACAGGTTTGGTTGAGCATTCTGTCCTTTTTCGGGTCGCATCTTGTTACACCATGTCCTGTTTTTGGTTGGTTTACATGTCTTTGGTCCGTGTTGCACTCGCTCATATTTCAGCCTTACCATACCAGAGTTTGTTTGAAAGTGGACCCAGACCCTGGACCGAGACCCATCTTTTCAGGTTCGGATGGCAGCGTTCACACTTACTCAAACGAACCGCACTAACAGAGCAATCGCTCCAGAGTTCGTTTTAATCAAACCAAATCTGCCAAGTGTGAACACACCCTTAAAAAAACTTTTTCTTAGAACTTGAGTTTCTAAAAATGAGTTTATGTGGCTGTGAATGTGTTTTAGTGGCTCAGGGAAAAACAACTAGTGAAAATGCTTTATTCCTTGATTTGCCCACAGGGTGTTTTATCAGATCTGACGCAAGTCACACGTCTACATGGTTTCGACCCAGTTTGGGGGGTGCTTGTTGTGGGCACAGTCACTTTCATTTTGGGATTTGCTGGTTGTGTCGGAGCACTGCGGGAAAACATCTGCCTCCTTAAATTTGTAAGTTCTCATCCTTTCGATGTGATACTGAGGTGCCATCACATAAGCTGGTTAATTTTGCATGCCTTGCAGTGCCAGACCTGTATAAGATAGGCACTTTATGATGTGTTAAATGTAAATACTTCTCAGACATAAAAATGTACAAATACTATTTACACTGTCAAAAAGCTACTCTTTGAATTTTCACCTTGCTTCTTGACTTTTTCTTTCAGTTCTCTGGAGTCATTGGCTTCATCTTCTTCCTGGAGCTGACGGCTGCGGTGTTGGCATTTGTGTTCCAGGGCCAAGTTAGGGAGTGGATCAACGAATTCTTCTTGGCCAATGTAAAGGCCTACAGGGAAGACATTGACCTGCAGAATCTGATCGACTCTCTTCAGAAGCTGGTAAGTTTGAGAGTTTTTAACAATTCGCATTCATTAGGCAAGGCAAGGCAAGTTTATTTATATAGCACATTTCATACACTATGGCAATTCAAAGTGCTTTACAGAAAGGAATTAAAATAATCACAAAATAAAAGCAAGGAAAATGAAAACAGTTATAAAAGAAATTAAAAGAGATATATGGTATAGTTATAAAATGAATTAAAAGAGTAAAAAGATGATGCATAGATAAACTTTTCATCTGGCAAAACACTGGTGTATCATATTTTGCACAACTGCTTGTTTTTCTGTGAGATTTTCCCATGTGGATTGTACTGTATCTGTGGTGTTCTTTCGACGCGCCCAACAAAAATGTATTGGTCGTCTCCAGTAGACCCGATTTTTCCCTAAAATCGGACTGGAGGAGCTCTAGGACTGAGTCACGGGGTTACCTCGGGTTCACTGCCTCATCAGTCCGCACCCCAAAAACCCATTTGTTCGGAAGCTCTAGGAATGGAATCAATCCAAGTCCGCACCCCACAGAACCTCGAGTTTAATCTCGTCAAATTCACAACTCCAACACAGACCCAGGCCATCAGCATGGTTTCATCTCTCTTACCCAATTCTCAGTGCCATTTGAGTTCAGTTTAGAATAAAAAGGAGGATGCAAAATAAAATACAGTGTAATCAGTCGAACTTACAGTGGCACAGAACTCATTCAGTAAATGCACAGCTAAACAGAAGTGTTTTGAGTCTGAATTTGAATGTGATTACTGTAGGAGCACATCTGATCTCTTCTGGAAGCTGGTTCCAGCTGCGGCTGGCATAGTAGCTAAGGGTGCTCCGATTGATCGGTCGCCGATCATAATCGGACGATAATTGCTTTGGGATGTGTGATCGGCGGTCTCTATAAAGGCCGATCCAGAAAAGCCGATCAGATGACGCAAAACTCGCGAGACAATTTTTTTACGCCCTGGTAAAAATGGCTTCACTGGTCTGGCAATTCTACAACAGGGCTCAAGCTTTGAGCGTGACAGTCACTCATTTCGGTCTTTTGTCACGCTCTCCCGCCACACATTGTATTTCTCACGCTGAAAAACTATTTGTAATATATTTAATATGCCGCAGCGGCCAAAACTCTGGCCGCGCCGCTCTCACTGAGGAACCGGCATGAATCAAGCGCGTTTCCTCTGGTGTTGTTCGTCGAGCTACACAATAGCCAATCAGAAAATAGCACTTTTGTATCTGGGTAAGATTTAATGCAACAACCAATGACAAAAATATATCCAACCCCCGTGCGTCCGTCAAATCACTCGTACATATTTTCTCTCATCAAAACTGAATATGTTCATCAGCGGTTAGTTATATCAAGCAAGGATACGTTTGTGTTTTATTTTGAGATTACACCGGAATGAATAGAGTCCGCAACGGCGATAGATTGAAGCGCGCGTCCGAGTGAAGACTGCGCGAGGCACAGAGCACTGTCTCCATGCAACTGATCGCCGCGGCAACGAGCGTGCAGCTTGAGTTAAAAAATAAATACATTTTAGTGCTAGATTTCTTATTTAATAGCGAACTAAATGAATGATCTGCTAGTTAACTGAAGATGTTTTATTTATTTATATTAGGTACATGGTCGGACAGACTTCACTGGATCTAAAGAAATCAATCTAACTATAAATGTGACCAGTAGTGGTGGCTTTCTTAATCTGTTTAAAATAATTTTGACACACACAAATAATAACACACACACACACACACACACACACACACACACACACACACACACACACACACACACACACACACACACACAAGGTTTCTCTACCTTCTCTCTTCCTCTCTAAATGCCCACAAAATCTGACGAAGCAGATTGCTGTGCACTTTACTACCTGTGGTCCTTTAAGTGTATGAGAAAAACTGATGGCTGACTGACTCTAAACATTATTTTGGCTATAGCCTTTTTTGTTGCTGTTTTTAGTTTAAAGTAGTCTAAAGCTAAATTTAAAGACTCAGATGTTCTGTCTTTTATTCATTTTATTTTATATTCTACAGGAAAGTTGTATGTCAAGCCCTAAGCTGCTCCCAATAACCAAGCTGCTATGTTAATACATGTTGCTTGCAAATAAATACACAGATGTCAATTCATTATGCATTGTCTTCTCTTAAATGTAATACTTAATGTACATTGTTGTTAAATATAGTTTAATAGGTAATGCTACATGATAAAAAGAAGTCTTCAAATAGACCCTGTAATCGGTGATCGGTATCGGTATCGGGTGATACAGCTTCCAGTAATCGGTGATCGGCCCCAAAAATCCTGATCGGAGCACCCCTAATAGTAGCTAAAAGCGGACTCACCATGCTTAGAGTGAACCCTTTGTATTTAGCTGAGGTGATCCTAATGATCTGAGTGATCTGTTAGGTTTATATTTAGTGAGCATATCTGCAATGTTCATAAAAAAGAATTGGAAAAAATCTAAGTCCAGGCACTCAGTAGGCACTCATACCTGCAATGTATTGAGGTCCTTGGCCATTGAGTGATTTATATACCAGTAATAATACTTTAAAATCAACCCTAAATGAATGCTTTCTGTTTACTCAACATGCTAACCACCACATACTTATTGGAGGTGAAACTGTTAAAAACAAACTTTGTGCTTCACTATTCACTCTTCTGTGTCTTTTCGCCAATTCTTTTTAATAAAAAATCAATGCTAAATTAACAAGCATGATTTAACCTGAACAAAACCATAAATAGGATGAAAAAGCCATAGATATTAAGGACTTGTAGAGCAGTTTTGGAGCTAGTACTGAACACATATGTCTTGGTTTTGAATTTATATCTGTTTTCTCAAATAATATTTTACATTTTAAATTATTGTTAATGTAATTTGGGTAATTATGATAGCACAATTTTGACTGTGCTTACTAACCTTGCCTGTTGCAGGGTTTGATTAAAAACATAATTTTGTTTTATTCACAGAATCATTGCTGTGGAGCTAAAGACCCCAATGACTGGAATCTGAATGTGTATTTTAACTGCTCACAGAGTCAGCTCAGCAGAGAGAAATGTGGCGTGCCCTTTTCCTGCTGCATCAGCGACCCTGCTGTAGGTTCCTTTCTCCTTCACAGCAGCCCTCCACAGAAAAAAAAGAGTTATTTTCATCATAAAAAATACGGTTTAAAAGAACACATTGTGCTTGTGCTTGAACACAAGTCAAAGGTCAAGCATGTTGAAAACTTCCTTTGCTTGCTGAGGCCTTGAAATGAATAGTTTATCCTCATGTCATTCCAAACCCATGTATACATCTTTGTCTGAGAAACTTTGCAGAATGTACTTTTGTAATTGTATGGTTCAAAACATTATTCCACATTTTATGGGGAAAAAAAGTAATGTGGATTTAATGATTATTGTCACTTCAGTTCTACTTTCTGGGTATGATATTTCTGGGTATGAAACCTATCATATGCAGTAAAAGACAGAACAATATAATGTGAGCACTGTAAAAGGTGTTGATATCACGAGACAGATTTTCACCTTGACGAAAAATATAATTTTTTCATGTTTTAATATCGTAAGATCTTGTGGCACAAGATCTCTTCACACCCCGAATACTGACCCTAAAGTTTTTTCTTCTTGGCACAGGCACAGGCTATGTCTGGTTTTGGTTTAAATTACTTAGTGCATGGTTATTTATTTCTATCGTAAATGACTTTACAGTAATTATAGGCCCCATTTTCATGAACCTGTGACTTTTCTTTACAGGATACAGTGGTGAACACGCAGTGTGGATATGATGTTAGATCAACTGGCGCAGCGGTAAGTGCATGTTGTACAGTTTTACTAGGCATTTTGTTCTTTGCCATTGTTGACAAAAGTTCTGCTTTAACCCTATAAACCCGAAGTGTAACGCCGACGGTACACCAAGCGAAACAAATTCATAATCAAATTACTAAGCAACCACTGAATGGAATGAAACAAATCAATTCTTAACTCTTAACGAGTGCTGAGTATTCACTCTAAAATGAAGTCTACCGCTGGCGGGCGGCACTCAGCTACGAAAACATTAATAATCATCATTTTCAAAATGACTGCCTTGATCAACTGTGCCGAGTTATTTGCTGATATAATTTTTTTCCCATAATTTATGAAACACTTTTTTTGTACTACCGGCATGTACTGTAATATGTCAAAAACATCACACAGCTCGGATAGTCATGTGTCATATGCTGCTATGTAGATGTAATAAAATAAAATACATTTTACTGTCACTTATTTTGTGAATAAACAACACACTGTTTTATTTTTCAGTCTCAATGGAGCAACACCATTTATGTCAAAGGATGCATGATGGCTTTAGAGGAGTGGCTTCCACGCAATCTGTACATTGTGGCTGGAGTCTTCATAGTCATATCATTGTTACAGGTATTGGATGTGCTTGAAAAAAAATATATACTGCATGGAAAATATGTTTTACAGCTAGATGTCACCCACACAAAACAAATGGTTAAAGAATTTCAGATTCTGTCATCAGAATGAATACAAATTGTAGGCCCTGAAAAGAAATACTCTTCTGCATGTAAAGAGTATGTCTTTTTAAAACTCAGTTTTGAAGTGAATCTGAATCTAATGTTGTGTCTTGTCACTTTGCTATTAGATGGTGGGAATCTTCTTGGCAAGGACGCTGATCGGAGACATAGAAAAAGTAAAGTTTAATTATTACTGAGCTCATGTAACTGGAAGCGAGCAGGGCAATGTATGGAACAATATGTGGACCTCCAGTTATTCTTTTTTTTCATGGAGGACAAGAACATTTGTTGAAAAGAGGACTCAGGACCATTCACTTGGACCACCTTTTCAGCATTTCTAAAGACCAGATATTGAATATGCAGCTGCCTAAGTTCATTTGGATACTGTCACATGTGTGCCTTCTCTCTTTCAAGTTTACCTCCAGCAGCCCACTCCCATTGTGTATTTTTATTGTATTTTATAAATGACCAACATTAACATTTGTAATTTTGGGACCACTATTAACCAAGCTTGATATACATACTGGCCACAGGGTGGGACCATAACCTTTAAACTAACATGAATTGTAATTCTAATCATGAGAAGAAGCAGCCTAGTCAACCAAGCTTTAATTATTGAAATTTCTTACACATACTTCAAAATTTCGCTCTTTTTATTAATTAGTTCAAAAGCACAAACTGGAATGTCTTTTTGAAGCATGTTTATTTTTCCTTAGATAAAAGCATGATGGTGATGATTTAAAAAAAAGATTATCTGGCCTCATAGTAAGAAGTGTAATGAAAGAACAATTGTAAAGCAGTTTCAACTGCAGTAAATACATTCCATTTTCTTAGTTCATTGAGTTCAACTATTCATATTTATGCAGACAGAGGGTCTGCATTTAATGTTAACTGCAAAGAGTGCAGAAGAAATATATCAAGATCTGACTAGACTGACTCACGTGCAAACAGAACATTTTGAGTGCAGTTGGGTAGAAACAAAATTCCTGCGAGTCTAGAACAGAAGTGTCTTACATCACACAGGTTTTAAGCATCAGTATCAAATACAGGCCGTGTGTTTTTACGCAATTTTAGAAATGTTTATTTCTATTCCGTTAAGGATCATTTCATCTGATTGTCTTGCATTTGAATGTGCAAGCCTGGACTTTTGCAGACCTTTAGGAGTCACTGGAGTTGGATGCAAATCACCATATGGTTTCTAATACTGATGTCAACATTGCCTTTGAGATGCCAACACTTACCTCCTTCTATTCTTACCTGGTGACTTTATACAAACAATCAGGTTGTGCCTTTTCTCTCGCATTGAAGGTTTTATCAAATGTATTATACCATGTCTTAGCTGGATAGAGGTTTTTTGTTTGATTCGTGTCAATCATTACACATCAAATAATATTTACTTTTTGTATTCTCAATTAAAAACTTAACTGCCATTAAAGCACAAACTAAAATCCATAACATTAACATAACATTAACTTTACTCTTAGCCCAAAGACTTTTACTGTTATTTTTCCTTTTCACAGTTCCATCATAGTATACTTGTATAATATGACGTCTGAAATTCACAATAATGCAAAAAGGAATTTATGTTAAAAACTTAGAAATTGTTAATCTTTTCAATTCAGAGAGCACTATTTTGTCCCTTTTTGGAGTGTCTGTCTGTGCCACTGTGTAGTGTTAAAGCTTGATTTATTTAGTAAAATGCTGTAGTTTCCCTGATTTTACTGCAAGAGCCTCCTTTTTAATGAAGGGATGTTTTTTTGTTGGGTTTGTCATTTGTTTTTGAATGTGTGTTGTCTTTGTAAATATTTCTTTTCATTGTTTTTATATTCAATAAACAGTTTGTTAGCTATCAGCCTCATTGCTGTTTGACTTGAACCTGGTTTGCTGGATTGTGAAGTTCATACCATCTTAGTTATGCTGCAAATCTCAAAGTTGGATTTTATATCAAATGTAATTATGTAAAACCAGGTTCCAGTTAACTTTCTTTTGAAGTATCTCGTCTTTTTTGCAAAACACATTATACAGTTCTAGAACTAAGTGAGAACTTGGCAGTAAAAAACAATAGAATTAATTCTGTCTTGTGCTCACCAAGGCTGCCATTTTGATCAAAAATACAGTAAACAGTAATATTGTGAAATAATACAATTTAAATAAACTGTTCTATTTTAATATATTTGAACATTTAATTTTGGTCTTTTTGTGAAGTTAATCAGTGAAAATTTAAAATAACTTTTATCAAAATGTAATAACTTTTCCACTTCAAAAAACAACATTCATTTGAGGCTGAGAACTTTTTTTCAGCAATGTCCACTTTCAAAAACCTGTCCTACCCATTTTTTACTTTTGAATTTCTGGTGATCAGATTATGGAAGTAACAAAACTTCTGATAAAGATTTGTTGTCTTCATAAAGAAACAATTAATTAAAATGGTCATGTATCTGTTGCATTGTGAGTATGGAAGAATGACTGGAGCGATTAAAAGTAGAAACTTCCTGAGGGCTCAGTTATAGAAAATCGTCTATGCCTTTAATCCTGGATTGACTTTGGCAGGGGAGCAGGGAAAAAACAACAACAACAACAGTAAACAACCTGAACAATGTAACATAAAATGGGCCTTTAAAATTCAGACTTTGCTGTGTGTTATGACATCTGAGCTCCAGACGGTCAGGTCAGAAAGGCTCACTTCTTGAGCAAGCCTGCAGTGCGGTACATTAGACACAACTCTAGAACTTTTTTGTTACTTTTTCAGCCCATACAACTACTAAAGCATCTTTACTATATAGTAGCAGTGGCATTTTCCCTTTCAAAATGACTTATAGCACAGTAATTAAGCACAATTGTCTTGCTCAATTTGTGATAAAGCAGGACTGGGTTCTCTGTAATTTTGCCTTTTTACAGTCACCTCTACATTAGATTGAACACCTTTGACAATCAGTCCTGATAAAAAGTCCCATTATGGGCTTTTCTGGCAGGGCAGATGGAATGGGAACATACTTAAAACAAATAAAAAAGACCATTGCCCCTCTGTCAGGTGATGTGCACATATTTTGCTGGGTCGGAAGTGTAGAAGACCTGTTTTCTTTCACTGGAAGGTACGGAACAACTATCTCCCTCATGGAAAAAGCTACAATACGCCTAAAGGATGGACAGAGGAAACTGTCTTTTCCTGTTGTTGTTAAATCAGACCTTCCCCAGTCACAGTACTTTCTTTTGATTTCTTTCTCTTTCAGTGCTCACAATGGTTCTTGCTATTTGCATCACATCCTATTCTAAAGAACAGAAAATAATAGGTTGGTTTCATATATATTTATACTTGCAGTTGCACTACATGAATGCATTTGACTTACATGCATTAATAACCACTAAAAAGACACAAAAAAATCGAACACTAATGGCTTTTCAACCACAAAGACCACTAATCCATGTAAAACACAACATGTCAAGTTAGTGTCAACTCTTTCAATTGCCAGGATCATATGGAGACTTATCATAAATCTCTGAAATATTCGATAATGCTGTCAGCTACTAACAAGAGTATAGTATTCTCAGCTTTATGTAACATATTTTACCATGTTTAAAACAAGGATTCCACATCTTTTCCTCAAAGATCAGCACAGAAAATGCAAAGAAAAAGTCTGGGGCCCGATCATAAGGCACTGTAAATAAGAGGCAGAACATGCGGTCCAGAAGTCTTGTTCTATTATGTTATTTTTGACCGTGTTCTTTGAAATGCAACGAACACCCTGCTACATTAGCTGCCCTGCAGAGATTCGCCTTTGAAGTCTTTATGCGAGGAGTCATGGGAAAAGCCCTCCGAAGTCCGCAGAGGGCCCGGTCCGCATGCAGGCCTCCAGCAGCAGCTCTTTCCCTGTAGTTGTGATGACTTCCTCCTGAGAATCGAGATGTTGCCATTATCCAGAGTGCACAGCACTCTAATAGCGAGAGTACATTTCTTATACACAAATGCCTGAAATCATCATGCTGAAATCATTGCATGCTGTCATTCAATTTATTTTACATATTCAAATGTGGCCTGAAATAGTGAGGGCAGCCTTCTTTCCAGCACTGCTATGTTTCAGGAAAAATCTGAGTTGCTTTTGTATTCATTCTGTGATTGCTATTGAATTCTGCTTGTTTTTCTAGCTGAGCTAAACCTGTTGTAATTTTCATATATATGTTGACAAGTTCGCTACAGTGTTTTTAAATTTATTTTTACCATATTGCAGAGGCGTGAAGCGGGAACGCTTGTTGACAGTTGTACAATGTCGCCTGCATTTGCATGTTACTAATGTCAGAGATTTCACAGCTTGTGACTCCAACTTTGACAGCATCTCAGACAGTGAAATATGTATCCATGGTTACATAGGGTATGCAGAAGAGATGTGTGAAGGTAAGCTCTTAGTTACTGAAAGTTGCCTTTGTGCAGATTAGGTTACATTAAAGCGTTTAGCTAAAGAATTAGCTCTGACTCCTAATCCATTTCTCAAATATTGTGATGTTACAGCACATTTAGAGATCTAGAGACTTTAAAAGACTGACCAAACTTTAATCCTGCACATGCTGTCGTGTATCTGGGCATTATGGCTTCTCCTCAGTGAAAACATTCTTCTGGGGAATAATGGTTTTGCAAGTTTATTTCATTTTGATTGTAAGTAAATAGTCACTTCATCCCACCACTTTTTTGTTTTCTGTGTTCAAGGACAAACAGCTTGCAAATGATTCAGTGCATGATTGACCTTTCTGAATGTCTCAGACTGAATTGCGAACTGATTCAGAGGGATAGGCTACAACAGGCAAAAAATAACATCCTCCCATCATTTACTCACCCTCATGCTGTCCCAGAGGTAGGCTATATTACTTTCTTAGATGATTTTTAGAAAAACTATCTATATGAGTAGGCTTAGCCTATAAAAGCAAGTGCACGGGACCTCGAAAGGTGACGAACCTAAACAATAGATGTGTGCAAGAAAAATACTAATATTTGTAACTTTTTCAGACTGTCACACACGCTTTACAACTTATGAACGCGCTGACAGTTGGCATAGGCCGTGTGTCCACCAAAGCGTTTTTGTGATGGGCGCTTTAGAAACACTGCTGAAGCTGTGTTCGAAACAAAACATTGATGTTTTTTGTTTCGAATCAGTGATTTGGAGAGCATTATGAACTTGTCAAGTCATGTAAATAATGCAAACGAGACTCAAAGCTTCCAAACTTTTTGATTTCCGATGGTTCGTCACTGTATGAGATGACATTTATGTAGCTAGGGAAATCATACAGTGTCTAATGGCTTTAAGTAATCTCTGGTCAGTTTAGTAAAATATAGGTTCAGTGTTAATACATTAAATTAATGAATTTTATATAAACGTGCATCTACAACAAAGAGAGAGTGATAGTTAATGGCTACTAATTTGCATTGCCTTATTCTTAAAACATTAAAAAACAAGCACTGGACATTAATATAAAAACTCAAATTACACACTTCATAATTAATGAGATGAATCATGATATTATACCCTTTACTATAAAATGTTAATGTATTTACACATTTTGACCAGCAGGTGTCAGCAGCATGTGGTGTTTCGAGCGCTTTAAAACAAAAAGATCCGTTTGATCGATTCATTAAAAAAAGAACTAATTTAAAAGAGTGATTCTTCATCCGCGAATCGGGCATCGCATCGCAAGTTGTGAATCTAAACAAACGAACGATTCATCCATCCACATTCATAAGAGAAGTGTGGACATTCATCAAAACATCTTTCGTGTAACACAGAAGAAAGAAAGGCATGGAACACCATGTGGGTAAGTAATTAAGGACAGAATTTTCAGTTTTTGGTGAACTATCCCAAAAAGTGAGGAGGAGAGATCAGGAGTTACTCCGAGTAAGAAATGGTGAGATGAAGGCACAAACTTGCGCCCGCAGCGCGACCTGCAATAAAATAAAAAATCACTCTAGCGTGCCATGCAGGTATGACATCACTTTGTAGGCCAAAACCCCTATGGCCAAAACGTGGAAACGAGTTTGCATTTTAGCACGTCTGGTTCCATCGTCGTTGTTTAGACATAGCTGGTGGCGTGGGGTGGAGTGAGTCAGCCTTGGTGAAAACCTTTCCCCCTGACTGGAAAATCATGTTGTTAACTCAGTATGGGATGGGCTGGCCTAGGTAGAATCACTTCTGCCGCTGGACAGAGCAAGATACATACAAAAATTGAGCCGTATTGGGTCGGATAGTCCGTATAGTACCTGTGACTGGACAAAAGACCCAACGGAATGGCCATAAAAAGACGTTATTCAATGTTCCTGGATTCAATAGATTTATGTATTACATACATTTAACATTTTAAAATTATCATAAAACAGTCAAGCTATGAAATGAAAATTATTCTGAATGTGTGCAAATCAAAGGTCATTTGTTTATGTATAAGTTTGTTTGGGCTGAATAGAAACATGAAATGCTCAGAATGTAATGTCAAACATTAATTTACCGCAGTACCACAAACATTTGTCAAAAGCCTAAAAAAAAAAGAGCCAAATTTTTGACAATGGCAAAGTTTTTTTCACTTCTGGCATCTGCATTTAGGTTTCAAAATTCATAAAAGTTGTGTTCATCTGTTCAAATGATCTTGATGGACAAAACGTGTAAGTATCACACATTTTTGTTGATCACACAGAGCTTGTTTTTGTTTTTTTGCGATAATCCAAAAGCCTTTGGAATAATCCTGTTTTTGTCGATTGAACCAGTGTGATGCTAACTGGCGGTTGGCCTACAAAGTAACGTCATACCTGCACCTCTCTATTCAGAGGCTGCATCCTTCAAAGGCCGTGAAGGTCAAACCGAGCATTGTTAAATGGGACGGTCTAGTCCAGCCTTTCTCAAACTTTTTTCAGTCGGGGCACCTTTCAAAAGTGCATAAAATCTCAAGGCACCCCAGTGTAAAATATAAATTAAAAAATAACCCAAATGTAAATGCAAATGTCCTGTTTATTTAGACAGAACAGTAATGAACAGAGCATAATACGAACTGTAAATAACAATAATAATAACAACTTTACAGGGCTATCACTTTTGTGAAAAAATCCTGATCGATTTTTGAGACATAAACGTTCATTGAATCGATTGTAAAATCGATTTTCCATGTCTAAAGACGTTTCCATTTTCAGCGCCAAATATAGGCAAATCCACGGACAACTAACAGGCATTAGCACGAGCGTAAAGAATGCGCTTGAGACGCGCACAAGTCAGCAATATTTCTGATGATTTATTGGCATGAAGTTTCGTGCACAATGACAAACAGGAGTGCAAGATTCTCGAAAAACAATAAGCAGAGTGGACTGCCATAACATCAATGAAAAACATTACTGCAGGCTTCAACATGGCTGTGTTTACGATTAGAAATGTCAAACAAATTTCGCCTACGTAGGCGATTGTAGGCCGGATCTGTATCTGTATACATGGGACTGTCTGAATACCGGCAGAATTCACATTTTTGTTGTAAAAAGAGACACGTTATGCAGAAGTATAGTATAGTTTGTATGTGTGTTTGTCAGAGCCTGCAGTTGCTGTGTGACGCGCGTTCGCGCGGTCGGTGTTGTTGCTATAACGCGTTGCTATGGGTTGCGTCACTTGCGTCAAGTTCTGTGTTTGTTTCTTGCTTCGGTCTTGTGAGACGGATTTTTATGGTTAATTTTATATATATATATATATTTATCTAAAATGAATTTACAATTTTATTAATACGTTCATATGTTTAAAAAGAAGAAGAATGTATTTATGTAAATTCAAATATATATATATATTTTTAGCCTACGTAATTTTTTGGCGGCACCCCTGACAAAGTCAGGGGGCACCCCAGTGTGCCGCGGCACCCACTTTGAGAAAGGCTGGTCTAGTCTATGGAGGATTGTTCTTGTCACTTTAGCAGCAACTGTAACAGCTCCCGTTAACGAGGGGGCAGTAACGTTTGTAAAGGACTTAAAAAAAAAAAGTTATTCATCTGTCTGAAAGCAAAACAGGGTTCACAGCCTATCAAAATATGTTTACATTGGTCCATTTCTGTACATAATTAAGAGTATAAAATATGTAAAATTGCATCTTAGTAAGATCTGTCAACATTTGAACCGCTTTATTTTTTTATTTATTTTTTTTTATTTTTTTTTACATTTGTATCATTCATGTAACAAAAACTTACATTTAAAAGTGTAATCTGGGAATTGCTCTCAAAAAAATCCTTTTGTCACAGACACGTAATGAAATCTGGGGAAGTGTAGGCCGCAAAGGATCCTCTTGCTAGGCCTTATTGTGAATGATTGATAAAATAATATGAAAATTATTTTGGTGTAAATACATATTTTTTTTTTTATCTTTTGCATTCTTGAAGTAAAATTCCATTTACCCTTATGTCTCAGAATAGCTTTCTAAAGTTGCTATTCTGCTCTCTTACCTTGTGGAAGTCAATGATGTCAGCAAGGGTGGCATGACGGTTTTGGTCCACACCCAGAAAGCTGTAATAGTCCCCAGAAGCATCGATAAGGAAATGCTTGAAGCCGCTGGCTGTGCGATAGGACAGTGTGTAGCCCCATATCCTTTCACTGACCCGTACCAAGAAAGAGCCCTTAGCAGAATTCATAAGCAGTCTTTCTGAGTCCTCTCGAGAAATGATACCTTCAGGATAAACATTCCAGTCAACTGTCAGTGAAGAGTTAATTACACGAATTCAAACTCCCTAAAACATTCACATAGTTTTTTGTTAACTGAAGCACCTCAAAGATCCTTGCTTGTTTACCCTTGTGAAAAAGAAATACACTTTAGCATACTTTTTAAAAGAGTACTTATTATGGAAATAGTATACTTTAAAATAATATACTTGATAACTGAGTTTTAATTAGATGTTATTTGCAATTAATTGAAATGTATTATAATTTTAATTTATATTAAATGCTAGTTGAACTTAAGAGTGCTTTTTTTGACATACTCACGTATTACATCTTTATATGTAATTTCATCATTACTTCTGTTGTATTTGAAATATGGTTAAAGTGTACAGCCGAATGTACTGAAAAGCATTGATGGGAAAATAAATGTAATGTAATTTCTATTTAAACTTTCTAGTCATATTCTTATTTGTAATTACACATTTGTAATGAAGTTAAATGTAATATTAAATGACACACTACAGTTAAAATATATAATCTACAGTATAACCAAGTAGGCTACTTGTGCTTTAGTATGTTAGTCAACACATCAAATTAAGTGTACTTGTTTAAGCATGATAAAAGATTATTAAATCAATTATTTAAAATGTGTTAAAGTAAAACTTTTCACTTGACATTATTACAAATTGCACTTTTCAAAAGTGTACTTAAGAACAGCCATGAAAGTGTACTATTTTTTAAGTGACCTTTTATTTCATTTTATTTCATGTGTGCACTACAAATACACATTCAATGAGCACACTTCTTTTTCACAAAGGTAATGACTTTTAAAGAGGAGTTGTTTAGGTATTTCAGCATTGTTTCCATTGTAATCTTGTTATCTCTGTAATAGTGTCACCAGGTGCCAGGTAGAAAGTGGTATAGTATGTTTTTCCATGTATCTGTACCAGCAGTGCTGGTGTAAATCTACACCATGGCTTGTGTATGTGTGTCAGTAAGAGTATGAATGAGTGTGCATTGGGTCTCTTATCTAGATATGCATCTATTCAGAATCACACAGACTGATGTGCGGCCCACATTCCGTTGGAATTTCCGACACTCACAAGCCTAATAATCTGCTCTCTTGTCATTTAACCAGGAGTCACACACTGTAACCCAATCAAACATGACAAAGCTGCAGGACTCACAACGCCAGTAATTAGCCTAGCAAAACCTTTGAATTATTGAGCACTCCCCTCAATTTCTCTCTACTGTCTGTCCGTGTACAAGTAGACGCAGACACAACACAACTGCTCTCCATCTGTTGGTCGGCCAGTTTCTGGTTTCAAAACAAGGCTGCATATTCCATACTCCATTTCTCTCTCCTTGTGGATCTGGGTGACAGTGTGTACAAGAGGGTAAAAGGGCAGAGCTCTGTTATCTGCTTGAGTGGTGCTAGCATCTGTCTGGGTTGCTAAAACTACTCATGTTTCCCACTTGCTTACGGCACAGTAATCTTCAGCCATGTTCTGCAATTAATGTCACATTGGCAAGCTATTCATGTTCCATACAGTTTATCAGGTGATAATGGATTTTAATGTATCGTATAACCGGAGACACCAGAGAGGTCATTAAGAAACCTTACCATGGAACCATGGGGCGATAGTATTGCCGTTCCTTTCATGTCCCGCCTGTTTTGGTTTCTGCTCTTCAGTAAACCAGAGAATAACCAACTCCCTGGAACTGGGTCGTGGTGTCCGCAACCATGCAGGGCTAATGGGAAAGGAGAGCGCTAATTTACAGAACTACACAGTTCTTAATATGGTGCATAAACCTTTGAAAAGACAGCTTAATCCAGTCTAAGATGGTTTGCTGGTCTCCCAGCCTGCCTAAAAAGGCCAGGTAACTTATTCATCTACAGAATGGTTACCTGTCCAGTAGTGGTTGTGTTGTGGTTGTACTATGCTTGCGGCTTTGTCTGCGGCGGTACAAAGGGGGTTCTGCACGTTGAATGCCGGGCCTGGGTTTGACTTCATTGCTTAAGACAGGACTAGCAGATGGTTCAATGAAAGTACTGTGTCTCCGGTGGGATTGTTTCTGGAAGTGGCCACTCAGGCCAGCCACGTGGCCTTTCTCTATGGCCCGTAGTGACTGACGCTTATACTCATCTCTTGCCCAGCGAGCCTTCCTTGTAATCTCCTCATCAGCTGCTTTGGAGCGACGTACTAAAGAGGATGAAGAAGAAAGAATAGATGGTTAGATTAGAAAGGACAGACTGATTAGATACAAAATCCAGCTTTTATAATCCTAGTAAGTGTGCTTTGGAACATGGTAGCTGGTTTCTAGCTGGTCTAAGGTAAGCAACAAATTAGCTAATAGTTGGTTATCTATCTATCTATCTATCTATCTATCTATCTATCTATCTATCTATCTATCTATCTATCTATCTATCTATCTATCTATCTATCTATCTATCTATCTATCTATCTATCTATCTATCTATCTTTTTTCCTTTTTCACATTTACACAACAGGCTGAAGCTCAGAGAGGTAAAGAGATTCAAATTTTGTAGATGTTAAAGCTGCAGTCCGCAGCTTTTTCCTCTTTGTCGCCATCTCTGTTCGAAATCTTCAATTGCAGTTATTCGTGGAATTATTAACTCTACGTGAGTTATAGTTCGACACGACACAGCGCAGATGAACACAATGTTTGAGGAGAGTGTGTGGCTGTCAGTCGCCTCGCCGGTGTGGATACTGTCATTCGCAATCACAGATTATTCTTTTTGGAAGTATGACCAACATAATCATTTTCACCGAAAAATGTCATCTGAACAAGTAAGTAACATTCACTTTTGTTCTGGTTCTGACATTGCAGTAAATCGCGCTGATTAAATCTAAAAATCGCTTATCATACGCAAAACCGTGCAAATTATACTTTGTTCTCAAATTGTTAATGTTAACAACATCAGCATTGCATGACTACATGTAATGTCCTTCCGATATGTATCCTTGTTTTCGCATGGGCCGGTTGCAGTCTCTTTTTTTCTGTAGCCACTTCGAAGTCCGAACGAAGCCTTTTGCATTTTACAAAGGGTGAATCTCCAGTTGTCACTGGCCATTGTCGTTTGAACCTTTCTGGATCCGCCATCAAATTGATAAGTTTAATCATATCAAGTGCTGTGAGAAAAGGCTATAAATCTCCACCTCCAACATCCTCACACTCAATATAGCCTACTAGCCGAGACTCCTTCTTTATGTGTACAGATGTGACGTAATGACGCAAAGACATGCTCGAATCTCCCGCGGAAATCCACCAGTACACTGGAATTAAAAACATTATTACAAGCTTACCGCTTTGAATCGAGCTACGGCAAGCAGATAGTTTTGAACACTGGCTGGTTATGTGTTTTCTCAAATATGTATTTTGGATCATTTTTAACCCGAAAAAAGCTACGGACTGCAGCTTTAAGAAACATAAATAATAAACAGTAAAAGGGTTTGACAGATGAAAATACATATGAAGAAATAACATCTTCACTCACATTGTTCCTCCCACTCTTTGTCACGTTGTTCATTTTTTTTTTGTTCATGCTCAAGGGACATATATAGCTCCTTCGCTCTTTTTTCCTCTGCACGTCGTATCTCCTCCTCTTCCCTCTGCCTCTCCTCTTCCTCTTGTTTCTGCGTGAGAGTAATAGAAAGTTTTTTTGTGAGCCAAAGAGAGAGAGCGTGTTGTCAAATCATATGCACCTCAGTCCTTACTTAGCCTCAGTATGTGTTGTTGGGTCTTGCAGCACTAATGAATTAGCACCAGTGGCTCATTAGCTGTGTTGAAATGGAAATCATTTGGTTGAATAATTAATCCTCGAGGACACTATAACATGTGGCAGCATGGTTGTTTGAGATACTTAAGCTGTGTAATTATTGACATAAGGTAATTACCAATGAGGCGTTATCTGAAAACAGACACCCCTTGACTAGACCACTAGAGTCCAAAAACTTGAGGGCAGTTAATATTGTTCATTCTGTTTAGTACAGAGTTTTTTTCTTTGAGTTTGCTGACATAGTTACTCTATATTAAAGTCCTTTTCATATAGCTGAAGATCTAACTAAAAGCTAGACAACTACCCTTTTCTTTTCACTTTTCTCCACTTTTCTGTTGTGTCTCGACAGTCTTTTAAAAGATTTCTTAAGGAGTATTGTGAGAGAAACAATTCAAAGTTTAATGACTCAGCACTTTCCAGTACAAGGGATGATATGTGGGCTATGATAAATGAGCTCTTTAATATTTGACAAGTTTCTTTAGAAGGTCTCATTACCAGGCCACAAATCAAGGATAACCATCAAGGCCTCTTTGGGAATCTGCAGTGTAATAATTTAAAAAATGGTCGTGCCTCCTCCTTTGTCTGCCCCGACTCCCGCTACGTTCTGCCGTTTTCTTTTTCTTCCTCTTTGAAAAGATAATGCAATCAGTGCAACTTCTGTATAACCAATCTTGCAGTATGAAGATGCCTTTAGGATGTAATCTTCTATTTAAAATTAATTGACTTCTCCCCTCACTTTCTTGCAGCCAAACAAATTCTCGTTCTTATTAAGTTGACATGCTTTTTTGCTTGTAGAATTATCAAGCATCTAGATTTTGGGTCAATGGCATCATCTCAAATGCAAATTCATTTATACAATAGGCAGGCATGTAACAGTATCAAATTTTCCTATCACGACAATGGCCGTCACCTTATAACGGTATAAAGTCATTCTAATACAGATTTAATAATTTTTTTCTTATAACAAAAAGAGCTCTGAACATTTAAACTATAAAACAATACATAAAAAATTATAAAGTAAACAAATGCACTCTTAACAATAAAGGTTCTTTATTGGCATCGATGTTAACACAATGAAGAACCTTTAACAACCACAGAACCTTTTCAAAGCACAAAAGGTTCTTTATAGTGGAAAAAAAAATCTTTAGATTATTAAAATGTAAGAAAAACATTATTTTAAGTACTGTTCACTGAAAGGTTCTCTAGCACCGCTGTGAAAAACACCCTTTTGAACCTTTATTTTTAAAAGTAGATTAAAGTGCAAAGAATTATAAAGAACAATAGGCAACATTTTCATTTTCTTAAGCACTCTTATTTGTCATTGACCCTTTTACACTATAACACAACTTCTACTTTTCACAACATTAACCAAAAACAGCCTCAGCTCTGTGTAATACATTTTCTGTTTCATTTAGCCTCAAAGTGGGAAGCAACTAAGACTATAACATGACAAACAAAAGTACATACATGGACTGTTCTGGAGAACTAGAAAAGCACTCAGCCCTAGTTTTTGTCGTTGATGCAGCAAGTTGCCCTCCTGTTGGTTTCAGATTGAGTATTGATTGCCTGGTTGTTTTCCTCATTGTTCTCTGTCTTTCAAAGGGAGATACAGAGAATAGAAGTACAGAGGGCCAACCTCAGCAGTCGTTCCACACACTTACCTAAATAATTTACAGAGAGATTGGTGGAAAACAACATCCACCAAACGAATGTTGGGCCCTAAAGGTGTACATCAGTGCAGGTCTCCTACAAGTAATTGATCACTTGGATTGTTTTGTGACTCCCACTGCTAAGTTAGTCCCCTGACTCTCTAGCAGATAGTTTGGATCATTGTGGAACGGTGGCAACCATTTTCGTCTTGCTGAAGCCAATTAGTGCATTATCATTGTGCAGCAGTTAGAAGTTTGAGGGGTTTCTTGATCAATCACCTTTAGTTTTTCTCGTATAGCTTCCTCTTCCTGTTTGGCTGCCTTTCTGTCCTCGGCTTCTTCCTTCCACTTTCCTGCAACTAAACGTGCTTTTTCCTTTGCAATGGCATCTCTGAACTTTTGCTTTATTTCTTCTTCTTTTTTTCGCCTTGGAAAAAGCCAAAAAATTAGGTGCAACATCTTTTTCAGAATCATTTCTGTATAAACAAAATAAACCATGTTTCCATTTCCATGTTGCATCCTTAAGCATGATGCCTAATTGCTAAATATCTACAGCAAAGGATTTTGTTTTATGTTTTCTTTAGACATGAAATCAGTTCCCTTTCAAAAGCTACAATCGATGCTGCGCTGCTTAGCGCATTGGGAACGTCTTTAATCGTGACCTGCTGTGAATATAGTGTGTAAACACGTCGATAGAATCGACCGGAAGTAATATAGCCTCGGTCGGTGACGTCATCGTCGCGCGCCCCCGTGCACTCGCGCACACTCGCGTGCACCCGCGAGGCTATAAATAGATGAGCCGCAGGTGCATCGTCAGGTCTTTTGTCTTCAGAGACCTCTCTGTGTTGGTGTGCAAGCATCTATTTTCTCTCTGCTACAGATCTTTGTTAGGAGTTATTTAGCTTTATACCTGACAGTGTGCAGAATTTTCACTCTTTCTCATCTCTTAACGTCATTTAAAGAGTTTAAAAAGCAAAAAGAGAAATGAGTCAGCAAGCTAAGCGCTGTGTCCCTCCATGTTCTCGACCCATGTCAGAACTGGATACACACGCTTACTGCTTTGTGTGTTTGGGGGAGGAGCATGCGGCCGCTGCATTGGAGTCAGGGGAGTGCGAGCATTGTGAGCTGTTCACTGTTAAAATGCTTCGCGCTCGTCTTGGCTACTTTCAGTCCGCAAACGCATTATCATCATGGGGCTCCCGAATGGATTTGGCTGACGAGCAAGAGACGGGTCCGTCCCTTTCGCTTGCTTGTTCACCAGATCCACTCGTTCCCTCGCGTGATCCCGAAGCGCATCCCGGTGCTTCTTCGGCTCACGCGGGGGACGATAATGAATCTCTTGGGTCTACGGACTTCGAGCAGCCAACTTCTGAGCGTTCCTCGCGCGACGATAAATCTGTCGAGGAGCTTCTCGAGGTGGTTACTCGCGCGGTGGCCAGATTGCAGCTTGACTGGCCTCGTGAACAAGAGACCCCCAAACGCAGTAAGCTTGAGGATAGGTTTTTGTCCGGTGGCAGGGGGGAGGGACCTCAACATCAGTCTCTCCCCTTCTTCGAGGACCTCCATGATGAGCTATCTAAATCATGGAGAAAACCATATACCTCTCGTGTCTTCGTGCCTTCGACGTCGACTTTTTCGACTATCGTGGGTGCAAAGGCGCGAGGGTATGCGGAGATGCCCCAGGTTGAAGAGACGCTCGCCAGCTATCTCTCGCCTGGGTCTGCATCTTCGCTTAAAAAACCTCCCCTCCCCTCAAAGCCGTGTAGAATAACATCTTCGCTTGTGGGTAAAGCTTACCAAGCTGCAGGTCAGGCTGGTGCTGCGCTGCACACAATGGCTGTGTTACAGGCATACCAGGCTGACCTCTTGAAGGACTTGAGTGCGGGTACAACGATAGATGAGGAAGCGTTTTCTGAACTGCGCCGAGCCACAGATCTGTCTCTTCGTGCCACTAAGCAAACGGCCCGTGCCATCGGCCGTTCTATGTCCGCTTTGGTAAGCACGGAGAGGCATCTGTGGCTCAACCTCACAGGCATCAAAGATAAAGATCGTGTCTTTCTTCTTGACTCTCCAGTTTCTCCCTCTGGCCTGTTTGGCGACTCGGTCAACTCAGTAGTCACCAGGTTCAGGGAGGTCAAGAAGCATGAGGAGGCGTTTGTTCAGTTCCTTCCTCGCCGCACTCAAGGGGAGGGGCCATCGGCCACCCAACCTCTCCCTGGTCCTTCAAAACCTAGGGAGGTTAAAAAGCAAAGCGTGGCGAGCCGTGCTCCTCCTAATAAGAACTGGAGACAGGCTCGTCAGGCTCAGCAACCTCCCAAGCCAGACCTCAGGACTATCATCAACAGAAAGAAGAAGTCCTGATGGTCTGGCGCCCAGTCTGGTGGGGGTAGCCCCCCGCGGGACGGGGCGCGTATTATATCTGACCGCCCCTTCTCGTTACCCTCACAAAACCTCTCCATCCCCGCCACCTTTGGTGCTTCGGGGGGCAGCGGTTTCCAGCGAAATGTTAGATGTTCCGTTGCTCCCTGCTTTCATCCAGGGCACGGAACATCTAACATCCCCTCAAGAGGAAGTATTAAAACTGATACCACTATCAGAGAGTCTGGCAGCGTGGCAACTTCTGCCAGGCATTTCTGCTTGGGTATTAAGCATAGTACAAATGGGATACAGAATCCAATTTATTCATCGTCCTCCGCGTTTCAACGGCGTGGTCTCCACTTTCGTAAGACCGGAGCTGATGCATGTACTATCACAAGAGCTACAAACTCTTCTGAGCAAAGAGGCCATAGAACATGTTCCTCTGCCAGAGAGGGAGTCAGGCTATTACAGCAGATACTTCCTGGTCCCCAAAAAGGACGGGGGGTTGCGTCCAATCTTAGATCTTCGAGGCTTAAACCGTACAGTCAAAGCGCTCAAGTTCAAGATGTTAACCGTCAAGACGGTCGTGTCGCAAATTCAACATCACGATTGGTTCGTCACGATCGATCTGAAGGACGCATATTTTCACATACAAATATTGCCACAACACAGGAAGTTCCTGAGGTTCGCTTTCGGGGGCGAAGCATACCAATTTCGGGTTCTTCCATTCGGCCTAGCCTTATCACCCCGCACGTACACAAAATGCATGGATGCAGCACTGGCTCCATTGCGACTCCAGGGCATTCGCATTTTGAATTACATCGACGATTGGTTAATACTAGCACAATCGCAAGAGATGGTGCTTCAACACAGAGACATCGTGTTGGCTCATCTAGTTTCTCTAGGGTTGAGACTCAACACCAAGAAAAGTGTTCTTTGTCCTGCCCAGAGAACGACTTATCTCGGAATTGTTTGGGATTCGATTACGATGCGGGCACAATTGTCCCCCGCTCGAATCGAGACCATTCGGGTAACTATGAGCAAAGTCAGGCTAGGTCAAGATCGTACTGTTCGTCAGTACCAAAAGATGTTAGGTTACATGGCTTCAGCATCCACGGTGATTCCTTTGGGGCTATTGCACATGAGACCCTTTCAGTTGTGGCTAAAAGCCAGGGGATTTCATCCAAGGGCCAATCCTCAAAGGCAAATAAAAATGACGCGCCGCGGGCTACGTACACTATCTCTGTGGCTCAGACCCCGGTTCCTCGCCTTGGGTCCCACTCTAGGGGCGCCTTGTCGTCGCAGATTGCTAACGACAGGCGCCTCCCTGTTGGGCTGGGGAGCGGTCTTAAGTGGTCGTCCAGCTCAAGGGGAATGGGAGGGTCATCAGCTCGATTGGCATATCAACTGCCTCGAGCTGATGGCTGTATTTCTGGCCCTGAAATACTTTCTCCCTCAGTTGAGAGGCTGTCATGTCCTAGTGCGGGTGGACAACACAGCGGCAGTTTCTTATGTAAATCACCAGGGAGGTCTGCGCTCACGCAATCTGAACAAAATAGCGAGGCAGATTTTCCTCTGGGCCCAGGAGAAGTTCCTGTCACTCAGGGCAGTGTACATCCCTGGGCACCAGAATGTGGGAGCAGATCTACTGTCCAGACAGAAACTGCTGACGGGGGAATGGAAACTCCACCCAGAAGTAGTCGATCAGATCTGGACCAGATTTTACAAAGCGGAAGTGGACCTCTTCGCCTCCCATCAGACAGCGCAATGTCCCCTCTACTTCTCTCTGAGTCACCCAGCCCCCCTGGGTCTGGATGCGATGGCGCACACATGGCCCAAAATGCGCCTGTATGCGTTTCCTCCAGTGGCTCTGCTCCCGGGAGTTCTAGCCAGAGTTCGCCAGCAAGGGTCTTGCCTCTTATTGATAGCGCCGCGTTGGCCGAACAGAATGTGGTTCTCGGAGATAATATCTCTCCTCAACGGCTCGCCATGGGCGATTCCGGAGAGGAGGGACCTTCTGTCCCAGGCAGAGGGCACAATATTCCATCCCAGGCCCGACCTGTGGAACCTTCATGTTTGGCCCCTGATGGGTACCAACTGAGGGACACTGGGCTTTCGCCTGCCATTATTGAGACTATTCTAAGTGCTAGGGCTTCCTCCACTAGAAAGAGTTATGCCAACAAATGGGGTGTTTTTGAAAGGTGGTGTGTTTTACATAATGCAGATCTGGTCAACTGCCAGATTGCTTCAGTTCTGGATTTCCTGCAGGAAAAATTATCAACAGGCACATGCCCCGCCACTCTCAGGGTTTATGTGGCCGCTCTTTCGGCTTGCCACGCCTTGGTTGACGGGGTGCCACTTGGGAGACGTCCTTTGCTCGCTCGCTTCATTCGTGGGGCCAGACGACTGAGGCCTCCCGTAAGAACCAAGATCCCTTCATGGGACTTAGCTATAGTCCTAGAGGGTCTGGTTGAGACCCCCTTCGAACCTCTAGAGTCAGCGTCTGACAAACTTCTGACCCTAAAGATGGTTTTTCTTATGGCTATAACCTCTCTAAAAAGAATCGGGGATATGCAGGCTCTGTCAATATCGCCATCCTGCTTAGACTTTGCCCCAGGAATGGTGAAAGTGATTTTGCATCCTCATCCTGATTACCTGCCTAAAGTACCGTTTTCAGCTGTACATCCGGTCACTCTTGAGGCCTTCTGCCCTCCACCGTTCACAACGCTGGAGCAGGAGAGATCTCACAGACTGTGTCCAGTCCGTGCTCTTCAGGCCTACGTTCACCGTACTAGCCAGTGGCGTAAGTCAGAGCAACTATTTGTTTGTTATGGGGGCAGTAACAGGGGTGCTGCCGCTACTAAACAGACCATGTCACATTGGGTCAGGGATGCTATTGCTCTTGCCTATGAGGCGCGCGGCCAAGCTTCGCCAATGGGTCTAAGGGCTCACTCCACCAGAGGAGTCGCCTCCTCTACTGCTTTGGCAAGGGGTGCCCCCTTACAGCATGTTTGTGATGCGGCAGGCTGGTCCTCTCCGCACACATTCATAAGGTTTTATAGTTTAGATGTTCATGCCACTCCGGGCTCTCATGTCCTTGAGTCGACATCACAAGCTAATGTCTAGGGCTTTCTTGCGTTCTTGTGAGCACACCTACACAACCGTAAGGAGTCCAGACACCTTCAAGCACGGCGGCGTGGGTATTCTCGTTCCCAATGCGCTAAGCAGCGCAGCATCGATTGTAGCTTTTGAAAGGGAACGTTCCGGGTTACTTGACTGTAACCCTGTTCCCTGAAAAAGCGGAACGAGATGCTGCGCTACTTTGCCGTGCTGATGATGTCCCAGGACTGCTCTTCAGACAAAATATCTTGACGATGCACCTGCGGCTCATCTATTTATAGCCTCGCGAGTGTGCGCGAGTGCACGCGGGCGCGCGACGATGACGTCACCGACCGAGGCTATATTACTTCCGGTCGATTCTATCGACGTGTTTACACACTATATTCACAGCAGGTCACGATTAAAGACGTTCCCAATGCGCTAAGCAGCGCAGCATCTCGTTCCGCTTTTTCAGGGAACAGGGTTACAGTCAAGTAACCCGGAACGTTTCTAATCTAGTCGAAAGATACAGATAAACATCATGCAATTGCTCACAATCCTCACCACAGCTCTTGGGCTTCTAGCTGAGCCTGTCGCCTGGCTCTCTCTTCCATCAGCTCTTTGACAATCACCTCGTATGGTTTGTCTCCAGGGGCGTCCCCCATAACCCAGACCCACACCTCACCATCTTTGTCCTGCAGCCACTGAACACTTTTCCTGTTTTCTGGAAACAGTGATAAAGGCAGATGTGAAAACCAGCCCAGATAAACTCGTTCAAAAGACAGTTCACCCAAAGATGAAAATGCTGTTGATCAATGTTATATTGAAATTAAAGCCTAAATGAAATCTGTTTATATGATAAAAAGACTCTCTTTGATACACAGGTGTCTTTTCAGAAGACTTGATTAAACCGCTTGATTTATATAATATTTACGATATCAGATATACGGTTGTGTGGACTTTCAAAGGGTGGATATGGATAATGATGAAAAAATAATGTATTAAAAATATTTTCATTTGTTTTCCAAAGTAGGATGGAAGTCGTATCGGATTTCAAAACAACATTTTCATTTTTGGGTGAAATAACCCTTTAACCAAAGAGTAATTTTGTGCTGGCTGCCTCGCTGCCTATGGCCTACAGAGGCAGCTGACTTCTAAGGGACCATCCTAATAATCATAGAACTTCACAAGTGACAGATCTGCAACACTTTACATAGGCAGCAACACACAAATAAAGGAGATTTGATGCACAGTTGATTTCAGAGTTTGCTGTTAGCATATTGCTAATACATTTCACATACAAATATTGTTGAAAAGAAAAAAGTAAAATAATTTTTCCTTTTTTTGGGCCATGTCACAGTACATACTGAAATAGTCTTTTCCACTAAGGATATGAGGACAAAAGTATATTGAAAACAAATGATGATGAAATTATGAAATATAATCAAGTATAACAAAACTATCCACCTGTTAAGTGAGGTAGTGAATACTGTTTTCGGTCCAAACCTCTGCTCCGTTTCAATTGAGAATAGCACGCATTTAAGATAAGCTTTAAAACCAATTTTTCAGTAGTACTACAGCACACCCTGATTGTATATTAGCACCGTTTGTTGTTTGCTTTTGGTATCTGATAGAGTGTTTGGACCCGGAAACATCAAACTTAAGAATCTGATTACGTATAGGGCTAGGAAAGATTTCCTTGCCGGACCTACCGTCTCTCTCCTCGGTCAGGGGACTTTCCCAGCTTCCCTCTTTGCTCTCACACTCCGTCCATCGTCGCACCTGCTCCTGACGAATTTTGTAGAAAAGAATCTGCTTCTGCTCCTCATTAAGTTCAGCCAGAAGCTCTGGATCTACAAACATGTCTCTCAAGATCTGTTGCATCATTCTGAACTGCCAGAATCTCCTCTCCAGGAACACGCTGGGAAAACTGCCAGATATATTTGCAGCAGAATTCTTTGAGTCAAACAAGGTGAAGCATTAACTACCACATCAGCATGCTTGCCTGGAACAGCCTGCAACTTTTTACACCTATAAACATAACTGATTCTTCAACAGCAAATGCCCTGAGACAGTAACACAGTTCCCACTTTATTTATATTGACTTTTATGTGTTAGGCACTGTTGGTTTTAGAAGAATTTCTTAGGTAGTTGTGGCAAAACATTTTGGAGGTTGTATACAGAATACAAGTCACAAATATACTGTTCAAAAGTTTGGAATCACTATAACATTTTATAAAATGAAATCGAACCACATGGAAGTAAAGACATTTAAAATGATGGCTGATGACTGTTTCTATATGCACGCCGTGATTTTGCCGAATTAGACACAATCCTGAAACAACATATTTTGTTGATCCTTGAACAACATTAACTCTATGAAAATTTAATCCTAACTATTTCCTTGCATGTCCTGATTTTTTTTTTGAGTTAGACACATTTCAAGGTCAAAACATTTTGTTGATTGTGGAACAACATTCCTGTCCAAAAATGTTGTCCTAAACCTAACCCTACCCATAAGTTATCCCTAAAATCAGTGGGAAGTGATAGGTGAATAACACTGATGTAGAAGCACCTTGGTTGTAAGCCTAAACTTGACATAAGCTGTAAACTTGTCCCCCAAATCTGATTGGTTGATTTTACCATCCAGTTCTTTCGCATATTCTACCCTTTTATTTTTATTTGTCAGTGTCAGATGTTGTATTTTCTCTAAGGCTGCGTTCACACTGCAGGGGCTTAATGCTCAATTCCGATTTTTTTAAAAAATTCAATTTTTTTGCAAGGCCGTTCACATTTCCAATTAAATGCGACCTTTTGTGATCTCCTGTGTGAACGTGAAATGACCCAGAAGTGATCCGCATGCGCAGAAGAGTACTCAACGGTCAATTCCCGCCTACTTCAACGCAGAATTATGACGTTTGTCACATATCAATGACGTGTGGGTCGGATACATGTGACCTGGCCGTTCAGATTGAAGTCGCATTTCAAAAGATCGGATACATATCGGATTTGGTCCACATACCCAAGTGGCCTGGGTCGCATTTGAAAAGATCGGATCTGTGTCGTTCAGACTGTCATGAAAAGATCAGATACAGGTCGCATAGGGGCAAAAAAATCGGAATTGGGTCGTTTCAGCCTGCAGTGTGAATGTAGCCAAAGGCCCATATCTCAGTCTTGGATAAAGATGGTCTCTAGAATGTCTGTTCAATGAGGCTGCCAGCTGAGCTCCAGTCAGGGGTCTCTTTCTCTAATTAGGGAGTCCGATTTGCTTGTCCTCTTGTTGATGTGCATCTGGGCCATTCTCTTCTTGTTCTATTCTGCTTTGATCCAGTTTCTTTTCGTCTTTCATGATAGTATATGTAAGAGCCTTCCTCTCTTAAAAGAATAGACTACAATTTTTTAAACAATTTTTAAATTTGACTGGACTTGCAAGAAATGCAAGTGTACTTACACAGCTGAAAAAGACAGCGCAACAATGTAAAATATGTGAAAATTAAGGTGTATTTTGAACATTCGATGAATTCAATATAAATTAATTCATTTTAAGTTGTATATGTATTAAACTGTAATAAATGCTGTAAAAGTAATATTGACATATATAGAATTGTAAAACATTACCACTTTTTACTGTTTTCGATTAATTAAAAATAACATACAGTACCAGTTTCCTTCAAATACATAAATATGTCTTAGTGATTCCAAACTTTTGAACAGTAGTGTATTTTTAAGGAGCTCATTCCACTGTATTATTTTAATTGTTCAATATCAGAATACAGGTATCTCACAGTATTAGAATACAAGCACCCCCAAAACGAATACAAGTTGGTCTCATGTTATAAACTCTTAACAGAAAATTCAATTGCTAGCATTCATCAACACTCTGCTGTCTGTGTTCCTAGGTCACTCTTTTTCTACATTATTCATCTTACTGACCTGCTCTGGCTCCTTCAGATCCCTCTGTGTCCTGCCAGCATGGAGCTTCTCGCTGTGTCATTGAAGAGTCAAGCACAACCAGGTGATTGCTGATGAATACAGTGGTGCAGTATTGTGTCCCATCAGATCCATGATGAGGGTTTGTTTGGTTGCATCTGTGTTGTGATGGGTCTCTGTTATGATGTGTGCACTGAAGGTCAGAAGTTTCCCACAGGTGAATGGACAAGGGCTGTTGTCAACCTATAATGCAACTAGATCCCCCTCCCTCACTCGCTTTCTTTTGGTCTCACCTCGGTACACAAATAGACACACACACACACACACACACACACACACACACCCAGAGAGTGAGAGAGAGATACTGCTAATGTAATTAGAAACCTCTCTGTTGTCCTATCTAGGGTTCATCTGAGCCCATTGCTCTCCTCATTAAGTCTGTCCTCCTGTGGTAAAATGCTAATGCTTTTGCAAGAGAGAATTGAATGATTCTTTAAGCTATTTAATCAAATTTAATGCTGTTGACTTCACTGAGATGATCTGTTTGGTATAAATTATTAATTTGTATCTTTATCTTGTTCCTTCCTTATATTTCTCTGTCTTTAATCCCCTTAAACACAGACTAAACAAAGCAAATCCTTGTGACTTTAAACTAATATCTGTAAATCTGGGGAAATGTCTGGATGTTTGATGGTGTATTTTAATTTTATCTTAGTGTTTTAATGTTCTCAGCTGGGCACCACAAACAACCACATGGTACATAATTCTCTTTCTCTCTTTCTCTCTCTGTCCTTTATCTTTCTGGCTCAAGGTTATCGTTCCTTTTCAAAAGAACCTTGAGGTTTTTTTTTTTGTACAGCCTCAGTGAATGTTAAATAGTAGTATTTACTTCTAGTAGTATTTTTTGTACTACCCCCCCCCCCCACAAATAATAATCTATATTAAACTCCCCTAACATAAAAACATTTCTAAAATATTTAAATGAATTAATATTGAATTTAATTTTCTTTTAATCAGACTGTCTACTTTCAAGTTTTTTTTTGCAAAGCAATGGCTAACACTGACAGTATCAATGCTATAATCAAATTAATTGCATTAAACATTCTAACAATTGATTATTATTAGTAAATGTACATATAAGCAGAAATGTCATGACATTTTGAATCATATGTGTACATTTCTACTTGCATACTTTTCATTTTTCATCTTTATGGATGTTATAAATACAGACAACTTTAAAACAATACCAATACTTTCTGGCTGGCGAATTTTTTTTGGATTTCCACACTAACGCTTTCCACTTCAGTACTTTTTACAAAGTCAATTTATCTCCCAGCAAGCGTAAGCCCCAGGCATTAAGACAGATTGTTTTACCTCCTTACTCAGCTATAATGACACATGAGATATGGACTAGCAGAATTGAATGTGTGGGTAAGTGTGTTACACCATCTGTGTAATTGTGTATGTGTGTGTATCGCTAGATGTGAGTGGACAAAATCGATCAAGTGCTACTGGACTTGTGGGCCACTGGCACCAGAAGTTCTCAGTACAAGTACGACCCCTTGGACTCAGGGATTTATGTCTAAGCGTTCTTGTTTCTCCTTGAGAGGTTTCATGAAACTCCCATTATTAACTTGTCTGAATTGATGGGTGATATGTTTGGCAAAAGTCAGCATATCATATGTTTGTACATTTTGTAATATAATATTGAAAATGCTATTGTCCATTATAGAGCGCTGCAATGATGATTTAATTCTGTAGGCTGGTCTTCTTCTATTCTTGCAGAAAATAAGCTTCTGTGACCAACAAAAGTTTATTACGGTGGCCCAGTAGTGCACAACACAACGACATTTATAGAGCAAACACGTTCACAACACAACGAAATGAATCCAGAACACAACGGAAACATGCCACATCACAACAGATATAATCCACAACACAACGGAAATAAGCCACAACACAATGGAAATAAGCCACAACACAACGGAAATAAGCCACAACACAACGAAATAAGAAACAACACAACAGAAATAAGCCACAACACAACGGAAATAAGCCACAACACAACGAAATAAGAAACAACACCACGGAAATAAGCCACAACACAACAAAATAAGCCACAACACAACAGAAATAAGCCACAACACAACGGAAATAAGCCACAACACAACGAAATAAGAAACAACACCACGGAAATAAGCCACAACACAACAAAATAAGCCACAACACAACAGAAATAAGCCACAACACCACGGAAATAAGCCACAACACAACAAAATAAGCCACAACACAACGGAAATAAGCCACAACACAACAGAAATAAGCCACAACACAATGGAAATAAGCCACAACACAACGAAATAAGAAACAACACCACGGAAATAAGCCACAACACAACGGAAATAAGCCACAACACAACGAAATAAGAAACAACACAACAGAAATAAGCCACAACACAACGGAAATAAGCCACAACACAACGAAATAAGAAACAACACCACGGAAATAAGCCACAACACAACAAAATAAGCCACAACACAACAGAAATAAGCCACAACACCACGGAAATAAGCCACAACACAACAAAATAAGCCACAACACAACAGAAATAAGCCACAACACCACGGAAATAAGCCACAACACAACAGAAATAAGCCACAACACCACGGAAATAAGCCACAACACAACAGAAATAAGCCACAACACCACGGAAATAAGCCACAACACAACGAAATAAGCCACAACACAACAGAAATAAGCCACAACACAACAGAAATAAGCCACAACACAACAGAACTAAGCCACAACACCACGAAATAAGCCACAACACAACAGAAATAAGCCACAACACAACAGAAATAAGCCACAACACAACAGAAATAAGCCACAACACCACGGAAATAAGCCACAACACAACAGAAATAAGCCACAACACCACGGAAATAAGCCACAACACAACGAAATAAGCCACAACATAACAGAAATAAGCCACAACACAACGAAATAAGCCACAACACAACGAAATAAGCCACAACACAACAGAAATAAGCCACAACACAACAGAAATAAGCCACAACACAACAGAAATAAGCCACAACACAACAGAAATAAGCCACAACACAACGAAATAAGCCACAACACAACGAAATAAGCCACAACACCATGGAAATAAGCCACAACACAATGAAATAAGCCACAACACAACGAAATAAGCCACAACACAACGAAATAAGCCACAACACAACGAAATAAGCCACAACACAACGGAAATAAGCCACAACACAACGAAATAAGCCACAACACAACGAAATAAGCTACGACACAACGGAAATAAGCCACAACACAACAAAATAAGCCACAACACAACAAAATAAGCCACAACACAACGAAATAAGCCACAACACAACAAAATAAGCCACAACACAACGGAAATAAGCCACAACACAACGGAAATAAGCCACAACACAACGGAAATAAGCCACAACACAACGAAATAAGCCACAACACAACGAAATAAGCCACAACACAACGGAAATAAGCCACAACACAACGGAAATAAGCCACAACACAACGGAAATAAGCCACAACACAACGAAATAAGCCACAACACAACGAAATAAGCTACGACACAACGGAAATAAGCCACAACACAACGAAATAAGCCACAACACAACGAAATAAGCCACAACACAACGGAAATAAGCCACAACACAACGGAAATAAGCCACAACACAACGAAATAAAGCCGCAACACAACGAAAATGCTCCCGACCACCAGAGGGCTCTCGGAACGCTGTAAAGTTAGTTTTCCATGCCACTTTTCTATAGAGTCAGCAGTCTAAAACACCACGATTCGTTTTAACAGTATGTAGCTAACCATTGCATATCGACATTTATTAATTCAAAATCACCCACGTGCATTATAGCAGCATATTTATACTCTAGAATGCTTTGCTTTTATCCTTAAGGGAACGTCTGCCAATTCCTCTAAGTGGTTAAAACGTATAATTTGTATTAGGCTAATTAAAATGACTTTTAACATTCAAAAACAGACATGTCCAAAATCCAAAGCTTGATTGCATTGGTAAGACTGACTTACTACATGTGACTTTTTTTCCAATATCTCCCTTCATGTATTTACAGTGAACAATTTTTTTTAGGAAACAAAATTTCTGTAATATAGGCTAACAAAAGTTTTTTTTTCTTTTATCATGTTTCAAAGATTGTAGTACGGTCCTAGTAACCAGACTGACTTACTATAGGTGAAATTGTGCCAATAGCTCCCTGTATGAACACAATGTTTAAGTGTTCATACAGGGAATTTTAAAATGTTAATTTTAAAGTGTAAATACAATCGCGTACAAAACTAAATGTAGACTATATAGCTACAAACTACACCACGGTCGCATGACTTCAATGTTACCACAATTAAACTCTTTCTGTCTCTATTTGGGTTAAAATAGTTTGCAAGAGTGGGATTATAAACACAATGAGGCAGTAAAAGCGAACTAGTGAGTAGATGAGTTTTCCTGTTCAATGTTTAATGTTCCCAGCAACCACCTTTTTCAAGACAAGAAAATCACAAAGGAAGTAAATCACTAAGGGGTATTACTGATGTATTTTATGTTGTAAAATAAAACGTGGAAATAAAATGAGCTTGTGTTAACCACAGACCCATTTAACGAAAAACCCATTCAAACAACCCAATGACTTCAGGACAATGGAACTGGAAGTGCTAAAATTTTTTCCAGGTTTTAGCCTACAAAACACGTCATCCCTTCGGTACTGTAGACTGTTCCCTTTTTTTTTTTTTTTTTTATGCTTTTGAACACACTACATTTATGTGATATATATATAAATGTTATATATAAATATAACAGACAGGGGGGAGTGTTGAGCTAAAGTTGAACGGCAGCTAGAGATTAGTTGGTCTCTCCAAACAACACTAATCAAGAACAAGGCTTCCAAACAAAAAGGACCAATCAGAGCCAAGGCTGTCGCAGCCTGCTTGGCACTGGTCTACCTGTCGGTCACAGTCTGCTGTCAGGCTTTGACTAATGGTGTCTGCCAGTCTCGTATTCACGCTCTGTCTTGCTCACACTGCCTTCATGACTCTATTCTTTCTCCTTTATGTTTCTTTCTTCCCTTCAGTGACTCGTCACCCCTCCACCACCAAAAGCACATTTTCATCCACCTCTCTGTCTTCCTACTTAAATTTCTATTCTTATTCCTATCTAGTGCTAATTTATGTAACCGATGGTAATAAAATCCCTGCTTTTTTTGTAATTAAGGAATTAGAGATGAGTGGGAAAGCTCAATGGTAAAGTGCAGA